GCCCTGAAACCACATATCTGCAATACTTGGGTGCGCCGCCTTTTCAAATGCCAAGTCTCATGAACATCTGCCGTACCCCGGATGGCGATGACAGCCAGATCCCGTTGTACTTGTTTGCCTCTGTCAGATCAGGTTGGAAGGGCTCTAGGGATCGTATACACTCCACAGCTGCAACTTAGCCCATCGCAAGCAAGCATGCAGTCATGCAATCCATACCCAAAGCGCCCAAGACGCAACCCTGAGGACTCTTTGGCCATGATCCTGAAGAGGTGGTGGTTCAGTGGTTTAGCGCAGCCATCTGTGCATGGCTCTGAGAATTATTGCAGAGGCCTCGTACGAACGAGGGAATGCTTTGATGCAGCAATGTGCTGCAGGTTGCTCAAAAAAAGAACTTCCTTTCCGGTACCTGTCCCACTCAGCTAACATGAGCTGCAGAACCGGAGACACTCAGACATCTCGGCTCCGAGATAGAAGTCAGCTGGAGAGCAGATGTACAATGTCTCGAATATCCCTTCGGGACATTCGCATGTACTTACGAAAAATATGAAAATCGACACAGCTGTTGTTAATGATCATGTTTGCCCATGCGGTCATGGGCGTACAGGCAAGAGCCTCCAAAATTTAGCATAAGTGAATGCGAAGACCAATCGCAGTGCCTGCTTGAGACGCGCACATGTGCAGTCTACGTACATGGCAAGGCAACGGTAGCTTCCGCAAAAGATTAGAATCTTGCACGGACTCAAGGTATGCTGTGATTCTTTGTGCGTACTGTCAATCTTGGGCCTGCACCAACATATCCGTAAAGCAACCAAGCTGAAGGCAGCACAAACGCGGCAAACAAGAGCATGTTGTCCGTCTGTCCATCATGAAAGAGAGTGGGCACAAAGCAGAGCTGCTCAAGCACAATCGCCACAAAGATGACGAACACGACGGCAAGGAGCGGCAGGAAGTTGATCCAAGGGTCGCATCGTGACCAGCTACACTTCCTCTGGAAGCGACATGCGAGCCGACACTGGATCAGAAAGGCCACGGGACCGACCCCCAACCACCAAGCCAGTCCTCTTGCGATCTGACAGGATGCCTGCAACCATGGATCCCACTCAGTGAAGCGAGCATATGCTGACGCCCTGTCCATGTAGCTCCAAAGAATTGGGACAAGAGCAAGCACAACTTGTGAGTACGTGAAGGGTTGCCTGGACTGCTCGTGTACAAACGTGTCCATGATGTCCGTTTGCACGCGGGATTCGAAGCTTTCCAGGTTGCCGAACCACTGACAGATGCACTTGACTACAACCTCTCGGTCACAAAGTCCACCCCCACAAACATGTCCGGTGTCACAGCAGGTGCATTTGACATCTGCAAGACGCCAGCCTGCCAGTTGCTCCTGAGAATCACTCACTGATCGAAAGTACTCCCTGAAGGTAGCCGTGTTAATGGACAGGCCACAGAAGCAAATCAAGGCTTGAAGTGCCCACAGCACGTAGCGGCCGCTGGCTGAGAGGTGCACACTGACATTGTCACCAACGGCGAGCACGAGAATCACCGTCAGCATCATCAACAGGTAGCAGGGGCCCAGGATCGTGGGCCTCAAAACGACTTTTGGCGTCTCGCCCTTTTCCCGGCTCTTCAAGAAGGCAGCTACCTCAAACATTGTCCACAAGCGATCGCCGTACGTGGCATCCCAAAGGATCAGCATGGAGCGGGAAGCCTTTAGGAATGCACCGATGCTCAATAATCCTTTTCCCTTTCGTTCGGGATTCACTTGGTCTATGCAGATCACATCAAAAAAGATGGAATCAACGGGTCTCCAGAACAACAGTACCAAGATGTACAGGATCATGCCGACAAGCGCTGCCCAGAAAGATTGCCAATGTGCATAAGGCAAATCTTCGGTAAAGTTGTTTGGTCCCCGTAGGACGGGCAATAACTCTGATGCAAATAGGACGGACGCAACAGCTGAGCCAAGAGATGCGATGACTGCCGCAGCTGCGCCGTTGTAGAAGAGCAGGAGAGTCATGTACTTTCGCCAAGTTGAACCATGCCAACTGTGACTCCAAAACATGTTGATCTTCTTGGTCTGGTAGCTCAACCTCACTTGCGACGTTTGCTGTTGGAGGCAGAGGTTAACCTCTTTGTCTGAAGAACCTACAAAAGGCAAAGATACCGAAACTTCGCCTAAGCAACCGATGAAGCTTCTTGGACCCTCGCAGGGCTTTGCCGAAGCCTCGGAAGACATCGCCGGCTCGTGTAGCCCGAAGCAAGTCTGGACAGACTGGCACCATCCGGCCCACCATTCGAGCGATGAGGTCTTCAGCAAGAGCAGGAACAGCGTTGGCTGTTTGCTCTGGCACTGGAGAGATCTGCCGAGCGACACTCACTCCAGCTATGTCATCTTCATAGGCCGGAAGCTGTGCTGGCTCCATAGCTGACACAGCCCTAAGCGGAAGCCTGTTCCTAGTCTCGAGCGCAGAAACAACCAGCCTGCGTGCCAAATTTTGATGACATCGATTGGTTCTGCCTTTGTTCATTCGGGAACGGTTCTATGTTACGGTGCCCACTGAAGCATTGCAGAACTATATCAGTGGGGTAGCTCAGAAGCTGCTCCACACTGACACCAATTTAAAAGGGCCCGCGAGCCAAGCTATGAGACTATGAGATAAGGATCTTGACCTTGACGTGAGAACTTCTCAACCCTGACAGAGCTACGCTAATAAGAAGTGCAAACATGGATGACATGGAACGTACATGGAGGCTGCGCATTGACACCAGAGACTCCATCTGACTTTTCAAATATCTAAAACATCTTCCGCAACACACCCCACCCCTAAACCCTAAACCCTAAAATCCTAAACCTGCATCTGCATCTGTAGGTCCGAAGTTTGAGCCACAGAAACAGACAGAAACAATCGAGGTCGAAAGACCCCAAAACCATGGGCGTAAAGAAGCCGTGTAAAGGAAATGCCTAGAAACAGCTCATTGCCACGTCACAAAACGAAGATATACCTCTGTGTGCATAGTTGACAAAGACTTTGCAAAAAAAACACATAAACACGTTGACATGTACTAAAGCCGATGCGAGGTCCTCTACATTCTCCAGATGCGGCATACTCTCTCTGTGCCGTCAACCCGGTCTACTACAGCCAGAATGGCCGTCGCATGCAGTAGGTGCGATATCTTGACTGCAGAGTACCAGACAAAACATGTGCTGCTGGAAAACACGACCCTCTAAACCCCCAACCCGTAAACTGACCCTGAAACATCCCTCAACAGCTAAATCCCAACACCCCAAACAGACCCTCAACACGACCCTAAACCCGAACCCTCCACCCTGGAAACGACAAAACACAACCCTAAATCCCTAAACCCTAAGCCACCCTAAACCCCAAAACCCTAAACCACCCTAAACCCCTAAACCCTAAACCACCCTAAACCCCTAATTATACCCTAAACCACCCTCGACCCCTAAACCCCCAAACCCTGAACCCAAAACCCCTAAACCCATGGGGGGCCTCGAGAGCCCCCTGGGCGTAAGAAGACGGCCATTTGCGCCTCGACCTGTTCTCGGCATGGGAAACTCGAAGGACTCGAAGGGTTTAGGGTTTAGGTTTGTTGTTTGAAGGGCTCCTTTTTGGGTCCAGGGCTTGGGTTTAGGGTTGGTTCTTGTTCAGGGTTTAGGGTAGTGGTTTAGGGTTTAGGGTTAAGGAACTTACCTTAAATTACCATAATAAGGAAATCCTACAACTTACTATAAATCCCTATTATGGTAACTTAAATTAAGCTCTGAAACAAGAGCCTAGTCGCAGGGCTCGGGGGCTTAGGGTTTGTAGGTTTGAGATTTAAGGCTTCGGGGTTTGAGGTGTTATATGGGTGGTTGTCAAAATTATGGTCCCTTTTTGGGTCCCTGTTAGACTGCGGCACCTACTTTCTGCCCCACAGCGTCCCTTTCTGTAATATTTAGGGTACCCCAAAAGGGACCATAATTTTGACAACTACCAATTTTGGTGTGCTCGGCATTGAAGGATCCTTGTTTGGGATTGTTTTAATGTGGTTCTTTGGTGCCTAATTGATAGGAGTGAAGTGGGTTTCAACATGTGAACGGTTGTTATAAGGGTTCGCAGGTGTGGCAGGGCATTTTGGCTCGGCGGCTGTTGCGGCTATAGATTTAGAGTGACGGGTGTCAGGCCAGTGCGGCTTCCACGGTAACTAGTTCCGGTGGATAGGAAATCGTAAGTAGCTACGACATCGGCCGTAGCTTGTTGGCGTCTATCTCCTACCTAACTAGGGATGGCGACGGCTGTCACTGAACATGTAGGGCTAGGGTTTGAGGAGGGCGTGGAAGGTATGTTCTACCAGAAATGTTGTGTGCGGCTGCATAAGAGGAATAATCGTGAGTCCTGAACCCAGGGAAGCCTCAACAATCCCAGATAGAACCCTGAATTATTAAGGCCCCTATACGAGGCGGCAAAGCAGAGCCACCGGCCTGAAGACAGCACAAGCAGGCCGCCACCGCAGAGGAGCAGAACGGCGGAGCGGCGCGGTGCCATTTTGCATCCGGCCATGGTGGGACTCTGAGAGAGCTTGGGTGTGCGTTCTAGATGACTTGGGGCTTAGGGTTTAGGGCCGGGTCCAGGGATGACTTCCTTCGAGATTTCCGGGTTGGGGTTGACGTCGGTCGGGTCTTGGGCGCAGGCATGTCTTTATCGGGTCAGGTTTCTTCTCGCAAGGCAAGCTCAGGTTGCTCTTCGGGGCTTATATGCGCCTTGGCTTAGGTTTAGCGGTTTTGGGGCTTGGGGCCTGCAGTGCTGCGAGCTGCGAAGGATGTTTACACATTCCAAGCTCGTCTCAGCTCGGCTTGAATCCTCAGATGACATTCAGAACCACAAGGCATCATAGCATCAAGGATTCCGAGATTACTTTCAGAACCGTAGGTCATCGTATCACTAAGAGCTCCGACCACTACATCCTCAGCAGGGTGGCGGAGGCTGCTTTTTCCTCTGAAGTCAGTCCCGCCTTGAGCGAGGTCCGGCGAAGACCCGAAGGGGAACCCTGGGCTGCTCAGCGCTGCACTTTGCGACGGCGTTGAGGTTTGTCCAGTCCTGCCGGAAACTCCCAAAAGGGCTCCTGTGTTCTTTTAAGGGTTCCCAAAACAATTTCCATAATGGTTCACCACGGGAGTTCTTGCAAGAGGTCCCAGAAGCTGAAGATGCAAGAGAGTCAGCACATGTGCTTGGCACCAACGTGCTATAAATACATCCCAATGTATACTGACAGTAAATCCGGAAAAACGCAGATTCGCGAGCCTCCCTCTTCGACATGTACTTGACCATTTCAGCCATGGAGTGTGCTGTCCAAGGGAGCATGAAAAGCCCGCCGTCGAGTATGTACACCTTTGAGCTTCAAGGCTCTACCGAAACCCTAGACCCTGAACTCTGAACCACTAAACATATTGGGGAAAAAAACTCCCCAATATGTTTTGTCGAAAAATGCTTTTTCCCCAATATGTCTAGTAGAAATTTTTTCCTCAATATGTTTAGTAGAACAATCATTTTTCCCCCAATATGTTTAGCCCTTTCTACACCTTTTGGGCTTCACGGCGCTACTGAGCCCCCGAGTCTTCGCTTCAGGCTCCAGAGGTCTTTCTGCAAGGCTTCCTTCTTGGGTTCCTTTAGGGCTTCATAAAGGGGTCTATAAGGGTTATCACAAGGGATCTAAAAGGGTACTATAATGTAGTAGGGGCCTGAATAATCTCATAGCTTGCCTTGGGTTAGTAGGGAATGCAGGAATGGGGTACAATTATAACTACTATTACTACCATTCTTCCATTCCCTACGAACCAAAGGTAAGAGAAGGGGTGGCAGGCTTTGGAATTGGATTGAGATCTTCAGGCTCCCTGTCCGCTGGATACGTTCGCAATAACCGCCGGAAGCTGGAATTGAGTTTCAAAGTTAGGGCTTTGGGTTGAGGGTTTGAAGGTTCGGGTATGGAAGCTTCAGCCAGGCTGCAGGTGGTCTGACATGAAAGTCGTGGTTGTGATTGCCGATGGTATCTGCCTGCCACAAGCAGTAGCAATCAACTGACCTGGTACCTTTATTCAGCCCTGGGAATATCCTTATAGTACCCTGATCCTTCAATTATGGCACCCTTATAACCGGTTTTGGGTTTGGGGTTTTTCATCTAGGTTCCTGAGTCGCCCCTTCATAGTAAGCGTACCCTTTTTCCTACTGTTTGGTTTTAATGAGGGAACCCCCCAAAAAAGGGCAAAAGAGTACTACTGGGGAATCTAGTCCCTATAAACCCTAAACCCGAAAACCCTAAAGCCCTAAACTTTAAACTTTAAACCCTAAGCCCTAAACCCCAACGCCTTTTGGTAATGCTAAACCCACATCTCCTGACCTTCGCAGGGAGCCTTTCAACTTGGAGCCACTCTCCGAAGGAGAGCCCTCCAGGACGACAGCAACATCTCCCCCAAAAAAAACGGAGCGAAAATCCCCCGACTCCGAACCCCTACCCCAAACTGCCATAACTTCCTGTTTCGTAGGTTCCGATTACGAGTCGAACGTGGAATGTATAGGGGACCTACCATAAAAGTTTTGTTTGGTCGGTTAACGCAAACCCTGAACCCCTCCACGCTTGAAACAATAACTTTCAAGCACAACGTCCCGGTGGACCTCCTGGACCCTAAACCCCTAAACTATGAAAACCTCAAATCCCCCAAAAGCCCTAAACCCTGAAATCCAAAAGACTAAGAATACCAACGGCGCACCTCGTGGTTCACCGTGACGAAGCCCAGCCCCGCACCCGGCCCGTTGTGGAATCCCGGGCCGGGAGCACAGAAGCCTGCTCCCGGGAGTCCTGAGAAAGAACTCAAGCTTCCTGCTTCTTCTGGTAACATAAAACCCTTCCTTCGGCTGTTGCAGATAGGAGTCATATGATTTAATGACACTTATCGCCTTCGACAGTTTCACAGATCCTGGTTCCCTTGCTTCTTGAAGGAGGATCCTTCTCTGTATGAGTGTAGCGAAACCATATGTTTGGGTCTGTAGATGATGGTGGTGATGTTGGTGATTTTGGCGAGGGTGGCGAGGGTTGTGAGGGTGCTGATGGTGGCGACGGTGGCGATGTTTGGTGATGGTGGTGATCGTGGAGATGGTGGTGATGGTGGTGATGGTGGTGATGGTGATGATGGTGGTGATGTTTGGTGATGGTGGTGATGGTGGTGATGGTGGCGATGGTGGCGATGGTGGCGATGGTGGAGATGGTGGTGATAGTGGTGATGCTGGTGATGGTGGTGATGGTGATGATGGTGGCGATGGCGGTGATGGTGGTGATGCTGGTGATGGTGGTGATGGTGATGATGGTGGCGATGGCGGTGATGGTGATGATGGTGGTGATGGTGGTGATGGTGGTGATGGTGGTGATGGTGGTGAGGGTGGTGATGGTGGCGACGGTGGCGACGGTGGCGATGGTGGTGATTGTGGAGACGGCGGTGGTGATGGTGGCGCAGGCGGTGATGGAGCTGGTTATGGTCATGGTGGCGTCGAAGGGACTCAGAAGATGATGGCAATGATCGTGCGCAAGCGTTGGCTGCGTTTTGGTTATTGCTCCGCTGCAGCTGATCACCGAAGACCCTACAGGACGACACCCGAAAGCACAGAATGCAAAAACAAAGCCACCGGAAAACTTACAGGTCTGAAGGGAGAGTGTCGGCGTAAATCCTGCATAATCCCGCAGAGTAGTTCCGATGTTGCTTCCTCCGCTCTTCCTTAAGCAACAGTAAGCATCTCCACATTTCCCCGTCAAGAAGTGCTTGAAACCTGCGAAGCACCGAACACCTGGAAATCCCGATTCAGACCAAGGCGCCTAAGGAAGTGGCCACGACTTCGGCAAGGTATCCTCTGCAAGATCCGCCACATAATTGAAAAAATGCCTTTCGGGTGATTGAGTGTGGTTTTTTCATAATTGAAAAAAGAACCTTTTGGGCGATTTCATATGGTATGTTTATGTCATCGGGTTCCCGATTATGGTTGTCGCCCCTGGCAACTTAGGCTTAATCGCTAAACCCTACACTTGCCTGGTGTAGGGTCAGGCAACACTAAACCTAAACAGTGAACCCCTAAACCCGAGACAAACCCGAGGCCCCTAACCCCTAAACTTTAACCCTAAGCAGGGTCCAAGGCCTGGAGGTTCATGGGACTTGGTAAGTAAGGTTATAAGTCCCTTAAGTAGGGTTATGAGTAGTTATAAGTATAGTTACCCGAACTATAACCCTAGTTACTAAGTCCCATGATCCTTTAAGTAGACCCTAAACCCTAAACCCCAGAGATCCCTTTAAGGAACCCCTATAGATCCCTCTTAAGGAGCCCTTTAAGCTCATGCTGTTCTGACTTCGCCTGCTCGAGGAATGAGACTCTGACCTACACAGGCTCCAAGCGCCGCGCTGCTTAAGGGTTCAGAGTTTAGGCTTTAGGGGCTTTGGGTTTAGGTTTAGGGGTGTAGGGTTTAGGGGTTTAGGGTTTAGGGGTGTTCAGAGTTTAGGCTTTAGGGGTTTTGGCCTGTTTTTCCTTAAGTGTGTCGGACTTTCGTTTAGGGTTTAGGGGGGTCAAGGGTTTAGGGAGCCCGGAATTTTTTCGGGATTGGAGGCTTGGACCGGAGGTGGAGCTGAGGATTTCTCAGAGCCCTTTGCAAGGTCCTCCGAGCGAGTGCCCAGTGATCATCACGTCGCAGCCCTGCTCGTGATACATCCTGCTTCCAGTCCCCCATGGCCGTGAAAATACCCTTCTACTGCCGTTATAGCAGCCATCAGTATGGTAGTCTTTAGGATTTCTGGCTCAAGGTTCCTTCGAGTACCCTTATAGTAACCATCATTATGATAACCGTTAGGGTTTCTGGCTCCGGGTTTGGGGCTCAGGGTTTCTGGCTTATGGTTTGGGATAGCGTTGAAACTGCACTCTTCCTCGTCAACTCTGCCGCGGCTTCCACGAAGGCTTTCGGGTAGCTGTACCTGGGTTCTTGTTAAGGAGCCTAATTTAAGTTACCATAACAGGGACAGCCTATTCTGTATTATACATCCTTATTATAACTTATTATGGTAACTGAAATTAAGAAGCCGAATTTAAGTTACCATAACAAGGACCGCCTATTCTGTAGAGTCTAGATCCTTATTACGGTAGCTTAAATTAAGTTCCTTGGCAAGAGCCCAGGTACATGACCACCGATCGCCAATCTCGGAGTCGGTCCTTGGTGGGTTTATAGTAGAAGCCAGAAAGTTGGAATATCATTATCGTAACCACTTTAAGGTAAATTATAGGGGATCCTACCATTAATCCATACTCCAACTTTCTGGACTTCCCTTTAGTGTTTTGGGTGTGGGTTTCGGATCTTTAGGGTTCCGGGCTAACCCGGACCATCCTGAGACCTGGCTTTTGCAGGTCAACTTGAAACTCCGGAGTATGGCTTAGGGTTTAGGGTTTAGGGGTTTAGGGTTTAGGGTTTAAGGGTTTAGGGTTTAGGGTTTAGGGTTTAGGGTTTATCTTGAGTAGCAGCTTCGGAATGACAGGGAGCATTCTGTCTGGGTTCAAGCGCATGGCGCTGAAACCACATATCTGCAATACTTGGGCGCGCCGCCTTTTCAAATGCCAAGTCTCATGAACATCTGCCGTACCCCGGATGGCGATGACAGCCAGATCCCGTTGTACTTGTTTGCCTCTGTCAGATCAGGTTGGAAGGGCTCTAGGGATCGTATACACTCCACAGCTGCAACTTAGCCCATCGCAAGCAAGCATGCAGTCATGCAATCCATACCCAAAGCGCCCAAGACGCAACCCTGAGGACTCTTTGGCCATGATCCTGAAGAGGTGGTGATTCAGTGGTTTAGCGCAGCCATCTGTGCATGGCCCTGAGAATTATTGCAGAGGCCTCGTACGAACGAGGGAAGGTTTTGATGCAGCAATGTGCTGCAGGTTGCTCAAAAAAAGAACTTCCTTTCCGGTACCTGTCCCACTCAGCTAACATGAGCTGCAGAACCGGAGACAATCAGACATCTCGGCTCCGATATAGAAGTCAGCTGGAGAGCAGATGTACAATGTCTCGAATATCCCTTCGGGACATTCGCATGTACTTACGAAAAATATGAAAATCGACACAGCTGTTGTTATTGATCATGTTTGCCCATGCAGTCATGGGTGTACAGGCAAGAGCCTCCAAAATTTAGCATAAGTGAATGAGAAGACCAATCGCAGTGCCTGCTTGAGACGCGCACATGTGCATTCTACGTACATGGCAAGGCAACGGTAGCTTCCTCAAAAGATTAGAATCTTGCACGGACTCAAGGTATGCTGTGATTCTTTGTGCGTACTGTCAATCTTGGGCCTGCACCAACATATCCGTAAAGCAACCAAGCTGAAGGCAGCACAAACGCGGCAAACAAGAGCATGTTGTCCGTCTGTCCATCATGAAAGAGAGTGGGCACAAAGCAGAGCTGCTCAAGCACAATCGCCACAAAGATGACGAACACGACGGCAAGGAGCGGCAGGAAGTTGATCCAAGGGTCGCATCGTGACCAGCTACACTTCCTCTGGAAGCGACATGCGAGCCGACACTGGATCAGAAAGGCCACGGGACCGACCCCCAACCACCAAGCCAGTCCTCTTGCGATCTGACAGGATGCCTGCAACCATGGATCCCACTCAGTGAAGCGAGCATATGCTGACGCCCTGTCCATGTAGCTCCAAAGAATTGGGACAAGAGCAAGCACAACTTGTGAGTACGTGAAGGGCTGCCTGGACTGCTCGTGTACAAACGTGTCCATGATTTCCGTTTGCACGCGGGATTCGAAGCTTTCCAGGTTGCCGAACCACTGACAGATGCACTTGACTACAACCTCTCGGTCACAAAGTCCACCACCACAAACATGTCCGGTGTCACAGCAGGTGCATTTGACATCTGCAAGACGCCAGCCTGCCAGTTGCTCCTGAGAATCACTCACTGATCGAAAGTACTCCCTGAAGGTAGCCGTGTTAATGGACAGGCCACAGAAGCAAATCAAGGCTTGAAGTGCCCACAGCACGTAGCGGCTGCTGGCTGAGAGGTGCACACTGACATTGTCACCAACGGCGAGCACGAGAATCACCGTCAGCATCATCAACAGGTAGCAGGGGCCCAGGATCGTGGGCCTCAAAACGACTTTTGGCGTCTCGCCCTTTTCCCGGCTCTTCAAGAAGGCAGCTACCTCAAACATTGTCCACAAGCGATCGCCGTACGTGGCATCCCAAAGGATCAGCATGGAGCGGGAAGCCTTTAGGAATGCACCGATGCTCAATAATCCTTTTCCCTTTCGTTCGGGATTCACTTGGTCTATGCAGATCACATCAAGAAAGATGGAATCAACGGGTCTCCAGAACAACAGTACCAAGATGTACAGGATCATGCCGACAAGCGCTGCCCAGAAAGATTGCCAATGTGCATAAGGCAAATCTTCGGTAAAGTTGTTTGGTCCCCGTAGGACGGGCAATAACTCTGATGCAAATAGGACGGACGCAACAGCTGAGCCAAGAGATGCGATGACTGCCGCAGCTGCGCCGTTGTAGAAGAGCAGGAGAGTCATGTACTTTCGCCAAGTTGAACCATGCCAACTGTGACTCCAAAACATGTTGATCTTCTTGGTCTGGTAGCTCAACCTCACTTGCGACGTTTGCTGTTGGAGGCAGAGGTTAACCTCTTTGTCTGAAGAACCTACAAAAGGCAAAAATACCGAAACTTCACCTAAGCAACCGATGAAGCTTCTTGGACCCTCGCAGGGCTTTGCCGAAGCCGCGGAAGACATCGCCGGCTCGTGTAGCCCGAAGCAAGTCTGGACAGACTGGCACCATCCGGCCCACCATTCGAGCGATGAGGTCTTCAGCAAGAGCAGGAACAGCGTTGGCTGTTTGCTCTGGCACTGGAGAGATCTGCCGAGCGACACTCACTCCAGCCATGTCATCTTCATAGGCCGGAAGCTGTGCTGGCTCCATAGCTGACACAGCCCTAAGCGGAAGCCTGTTCCTAGTCTCGAGCGCAGAAACAACCAGCCTGCATGCCAAATTTTGATGACATCGATTGGTTCTGCCTTTGTTCATTCGGGAACGGTTCTATGTTACGGTGCCCACTGAGGCATTGCAGAACTATATCAGTGGGGTGGCTCAGAAGCTGCTCCACACTGACACCAATTTAAAAGGGCCCGCGAGCCAAGCTATGAGACTATGAGACAAGGATCTTGACCTTGACGTGAGAACTTCTCAACCCTGCCAGAGCTACGCTAATCAGAAGTGCAAACATGGATGACATGGAACGTACATGGAGGCTGCGCATTGACACCAGAGACTCCATCTGACTTTTCAAATCTCTAAAACATCTTCCGCAACACACCCCACCCCTAAACCCTAAACCCTAAAATCCTAAACCTGCATCTGCATCTGTAGGTCCGAAGTTTGAGCCACAGAAACAGACAGAAACAATCGAGGTCGAAAGACCCCAAAACCATGGGCGTAAAGAAGCCGTGTAAAGGAAATGCCTAGAAACAGCTCATTGCCACGTCACAAAACGAAGATACACCTCTCTATGCATAGTTGACAAAGACTTTGCGAAAAAAACACAGAAACACGTTGACATGTACTAAAGCCGATGCGAGGTCCTCTACATTCTCCAGATGCGGCATACTCTCTCTGTGCCGTCAACCCGGTCTACTACAGCCAGAATGGCCGTCGCATACAGTAGGTGCGATATCTTGACTGCAGAGTACCAGACAAAACATGTGCTGCTGGAAAACACGACCCTCTAAACCCCCAACCCGTGAACTGACCCTGAAACATCCCTCAACAGCTAAATCCCAACACCCCAAGCCAGAGCCTCAACACGACCCTAAACCCGAACCCTCCACCCTGGAAACGACAAAACACAACCCTAAATCCCTAAACCCCTAAACCCCAAAACCCTAAGCCACCCTAAACCCCAATACCCTCAACCACCCTATACCCCTAAACCCTAAACCACCCTAAACCCCTAAACCCTAAACCACCCTAGACGCCTAAACCCCCAAACCCTGAACCCAAAACCCCTAAACCCATGGGGCCTCGAGAGCCGCCTGGGCGTAAGAAGACGGCCATTTGCGCCTCGACCTGTTCTCGGCATAGCAAACTCGAAGGACTCGATTTAGGGTTTAGGTTTGTTGTTTTAAGGGCTCCTTTTTGGGTCCAAGGTTTGGGTTTAGGGTTGGTTCTTGTTAAGGGTTTAGGGTTTAGGGTTAAGGAACTTACCTTAAATTACCATAATAAGGAAATCCTACAACTTACTCTAAATCCCTATTATGGTAACTTAAATTAAGCTCTAAAACAAGAGCCTAGTCGAAGGGCTCGGGGCTTAGGGTTTGTAGTTTTGAGATTTAAGGCTTCGGGGTTTGAGGTGTTATATGGGTGGTTGTCAAAATCATGGTCCCTTTTTGGGTCCCTGTTAGACTGCGGCACCTACTTTCTGCCCCACAGCGTCCCTTTCTGTAATATTTAGGGTACCCAAAAAGGGACCATAATTTTGACAACTACCACTTTCGGTGTGCTCGGCATTGAAGGATCCTCGTTTGGGATTGTTTTAATGTGGTTCTTTGGTGCCTAATTGATAGGAGTGAAGTGGGTTTCAACATGTGAACGGTTGTTATAAGGGTTCGCAGGTGTGGCAAGGCATTTTGGCTCGGCGGCTGTTGCGGTTATAGATTTAGAGTGACGGGTGTCAGGCCAGTGCGGCTTCCACGGTAACTAGTTCCGGTGGATAGGAATTCGTAAGTAGCTACGACATCGGCCGTAGCTTGTTGGCGTCTATCTCCTACCTAACTAGGGATGGCGACGGCTGTCACTGAACATGTAGGGCTAGGGTTTGAGGAGGGCGTGGAAGGTATGTTCTACCAGAAATATTGTGTGCGGCTGCATAAGAGGCATAATCGTGAGTCCTGAACCCAGGGAAGCCTCAACAGAGCGAACCGATCAGGGAGGCCTCCTCTTCCGGGTCTCGCACGCAGGCTAGGTCCTGCACACTCTCTCTACCCTCAATCCGGCAGGTGTGACCACCACTTAGGGTAAGGAGGGGGGGTTGAGGTTAACTAAGCAGGGGTTTGGGGGTTCTTTTGGCTCTTTAGCTCCTTATTTACTAGGGATTATCATCATCCCTGGCTCCTTAGCTCCTTCGATATCACTGGTTAGTTAAGGCTTCATGGGTTCTTTAGAAGGCCCAAAGACCGGCTCTGGGTCGCCATTCTTCTGCAAATTGAGGTTCGTCTCTCGGGCCATGCATCCCTTCTGTGAGCTTCCGGGCCCCGGAGCCTTTCGTGTTCGCTGTGCAAAACTCGTCGGATGGTTCCTAGCATCTCACCGGTGTTCTGCTGTGCTACTAGTCCTATCAGAGCCTCATACCGCCCGAAACCCCAAACCCTCATGTCATAGGGATCCTTAGGGGTGTAGGGGGGAGGGGTGTAGGGGACTATATTTCCTTAAATAGGCCTTATATTAGTCCTTATTATGGGCCTTAAGGCCCCCTACCCCCCCTCCCCCTACACCCCTAAGGATCCCGATGATCATGTCAGCCTCATGCTGCTTGCAGGTCCATAGGCATTTCGCGGCCCTTCAGATTTTTCGGGTTTCTGCTCTCGGGCTCCCTTATACCCTAAGACCCTAGTACCCTGATACCCTAATACCCGTTTACCCCAATACCCTACAACCCTAAAACCCTAAACCCTAAACCCTAAGACCCTAAAACCCTAAAACCCTAAAAACCCTAAAACCCTAAAAACCCTAAAATCCCTATTTTAAGGCTTGGGGCCGAGCCACGCAGCGCCAGCCCGGCAGCTCTGTTGGCGGCTCCGCGTAAACGGCCCGGGCGAGCGCGGCGAGCTCAGACAGGGGCAGCTCGATTTCAGCAGGAGACCTTTGTGTATAGGGACCTTAATAATTAGAATAGGGCTCCTTTAAAGGAGTCTATAAGGGCTACTATAAGGGATCTCAGGCGACCTTTGGGCTTGGAGTGTACTATAGATACTATAGAGGCCCTAAAAATTAAAATAGAGAGTTCCTTCAAAGGGGTCTATAAGGGCTACAAGAAGGGCTCTACGTGGGCTCTATATGGATACCTTTAATATAGGGGACCTTGGCGTAGCGTTCCTTTGAAGGGATCTATATAAGGGTACTACAAGGGTTTAAGGGCTTGGGGTGTACTACAGGGACCTTATATAATAATTAGAATAGGGTTTAGAAGGGCTACCATAAGGGATCTACAAGAGTAGTGTAATATAATATAGGAGACCTTGGGACTTGGAGTTTAGGGGCCTTGGGTTTTTTTCTTAGCGGGATCTGTACAAGGGTAATACAAGAGGGTTTAGGGGCTTGGGGTTTAGGGTTTTGGGGGCTTAGGGCTTTGGGTGAAGGAGTTTAGGGGGTTAATGGTTTAGGGTTTAGGGTTAAACGGTTAGGGTTTAGGGGCAGGGGTGGCTGAGAAGCTTTCAAGCTCAGGTGCAGCTGAAGAACAAGGGCATTCTGCCCTCACCGGGAATATATGGCAGCCCACAGATGCAAAGCAGCTCAATGGCTAAGATGTTGCGGTTTTGGAGCTAAGGATTTCTATTGCTCGCAGGAGGCGCACTGAAGTGGCAAGTGGCATTGATTTACCCGGAACCAAAAATCTATACATCTATATATATATATATATATATATATATATATATATATATATATAGATGGTGGCATCTTGTTTACGTTACGATCTTGGCTCCCCTGCTCGGTTAGCCCGAAAGCGGACAATCCCTAGACGCATTGGGATTTGGGTTTAGCCATCTCAACTGCAATATGTAATGAGCATGCAACTTTGCACTGCATCAGCAAGCAGCATTCAAGAAGGAAAGCAGGTTCCCTGCACGCAGCACGTTTGGGCAAGCTCTTGCTGAGCCCAGCTGCCCTAGCTGAAAAGACGCCAAACTCTGCATGCAACACCAAGGACGACTGTAACAACTGCAAAAATTTGGAGCAAAATAACCCGAAGCCCGTACCCCTAACGTCACCTCTCTGATGACACCTAGTGGCGGCGAGCTCCAGGTTCCGATAGATTGCAGCAGCGCCTGAACAACAAGTTTTCGAACAGTGACTTCAAGCGCCCAGCACTCAAGACTGATTTGAGAGGGCAGTCTTGGATACCCTTCGACCCCAAGCCGGATCAACGACCTGCAGCCGTCCTTGCAAACTCTGAACCCACCAAAGGCCCAGTGCCTCTTTTTCGGCTAGCGCTTGTCTCCGGCTCTCCTGTTCGGGTGTAGGGTTTAGAGCTTATAGCGTTTAGGGTTTCGCGTTTAGGGTTTATGGTTTAGGGCTAGGGCATCCTTAAAATACCTGACAGACTCTTATGGGCCTTGCAGGGCCTGGCGAGGGCGTTGTTTCAGCGGGGACAGCAAACGCTACGAATCTAACGGCTTACTACGGCGCTGTTGTTGCTATATCCTTGGGGGGGTTGGTTTGCTGCGGTCTGCATACCACTGTAGTGGAACCAGAAACCCCAGACAAACCTCCAAAAGCCCTTACCAAGCTGTGAACACCCCTAAACCCTAAACCCTAAACCCTAACCCTAAACCCTAAACCCTAAACCCCAAACCCTAAACCCTAAACCCTAAACCCTAAACCATGGGAACGAACAAATCAGGTCTAGAGCCGAAGAGGCCGCGGCATCTTCGGCTCCAGCTTTCTGATGCCAACAGCAACACGAAACCCCGACTTGTCGGGTATCTATTGGGTTCCTTTAAAGGGATCTATAGAGCTTATGGAGCTGTTGAAGGGTGTCGGGTATCATGGGGAACTGAAGGTTAAACTTTTCGATTTTTAGGGGCTATATAATATAGGGGCTATACTACCCAAAAAGGGTTAAAGTTTACCTACTCTACTAGGTATATACTTGATGATAACTCCAGCGACCCTGGTCCACTGGTGACCCCTAAGCCCCAAACCACCAAACCCTCAAGACCCCTAAGAAACCTCAAACATGTCACCCCAAACCCTAAACCCTACAAATCCAAAAATAGAACCCTAAGGGACCTACCCTAAACCCTAAACCCTAACTCTGCCTACACTTCTCTGCGTCCGCCTCGGTGCTCTCCTGCCAAGCGCCACCCGAGCCATGACCGGCTACGAAGGCGCCTCGCGGGACGACAGAGACAGGGCTTTCGGGGTGGAGGCCTTGTGGATGTAGGGTGTATAGTACTACGACCACCACTACTACTACTGCTACTACTACTACTACTGCCACTACCACTACCACTACTACTACTACTACTACTGCTACTACTACTACTACTACTACTACTACTACTACTACTACTACTACTACTACTACTACGGATTTAGGTTGATGCCCTTTGGGATTTAGGGTAGTACTACGACCACTACTGGGCTTCTGGGATTTAGGTTTAGGGCTTTGGGTTTATGGTTTAAGGCGTTGGGTTTAGGGCTTAGGGACTTCAGAAAAAGGCTTTGTATGGTTGAGGATTTCGGGAATCAGGGATTTGGGGGTTAAGGTTGAGGGTTGAGGGTTTGGGATTTAGGGTGTATAGTGGTAGGGGTTTAGGATGTAAGGCTTAAGGTTTAGGGTTGAGGGTCGAGGATGAAGGGTTGAGGGGTTCAGGGTTTAGGGTTGTATGCGGCTTCTATCAGAGTCTATCAAGATTCTTCCAAGCTGTTTACGGGACTCAGAATGGTCTTCATTGGTTAGTTGCGTTTCAGGCGTTTTTTGGTTTGGGGCCGTGGATTTGCAAAGTAGGGTTGAGGGTTTCAGCGTCTAGGATGCTGGGAATTAGTTCACAGCATGCTTAGTGCGTTGTGGGTATGAGAGTGAGAGGAATTTAAGATCATGGTACAGACTTCAAAAGTAGGGCTCCTGCTTGAGGTTTAGGGCTAAGGGTTTTAGGGTTTAGGGTTTAGGGATTTTAGGGTTTAGGGGTTTAGGGTTTAGGGTTTTGGAAGCTTCTACCATCATCCAGAGTTGAAGTGTTCAGCGTCTCGGCATCCTTGGCGAAGTTTGCTCCACTGCCATCAGGCCTTACGCACAGAAGGCCTCCAGATGCGTGTTGCCCGCCACTCGTGCCTCTTGCCAGCCAAAGCTCAGGAAATAGGCTAAGATTCTGTGGTCTGAGAGGGCGACCCGCTTCTCCAAGAACTCTCACATCAGGGTCGCAGGGGACCCCTCGAGAGGGATGCCCAACTCTGCGCAAGCGTTCTGCCGAATGGCGCGGGCAATGTCCTCGTGGTTGCTCAGCTGCTTTATTAGGCCTCCCGCCCGGTGTGGCCCCGAACGCCTCCGCCTCAGGCATCTGTACAGGTTTAGGTCTGGGAAAGACGTTGCGACAATAACAAGTAACCATGTCAAGACACTCTGAGAGCCTCTTCCCATGCAGACTACAAGCACAACAACTCATGGCAGCGGCGTGCAACGACGTTCTCAAGGATGCCTGAAAGGAATCCTAGAATCCTAGGTATGAACCCAAATCCAGCTTTGCTACGTCAGAAGCTGCGCAGAGAAGGTGGTGGTGCTGATAGCTTCAAAGATGGTCGTCACGACTGCTGCTTCTGATGACAAAAAACAAGCAGAGCCGTCACTCTGATATGGCAGCTATCGAAAAACAAAGACACCCAGACATGACAACGACAGCACCCGATATACTCCAAACATCTATTCAAAACAATGCACGAGTGCCGAGATACAATTACAGTTACGATCGCAATGCTTCACGTCATAAGCACAATCATGACAATAACTGCCGAGACGACAACAACAACGAAGTAGTAATAGTCGTCGTCGTAGAAGTAATACCAACATAAAACAAGAATACAGAAACTCACAATACCAAAATCAAGAACAGCAGCAATAGTGACAACAAAATAACCACAAGAGTATAGAGTAAGGATTGCAAACCCGCCCAAAAATGAAAAAAAACAAAACACAGGAAAAAAACAGGGAGGCACCTGCCAGGACCCCCAAGGGGCCAGCGCCGCCAGCAGCGTGGGAGACCGCTGCAGCAGGGGCTTCGAGAAGGGCGCCTGGGGGGGGTGCTGCGGAACTTTCAATCCTTAGGGATGCTTAAGGGAACCTTAGGGAGCACTAGAGAGAACTAGGAATTAGTGGGATATCTACCAGAAGTTCAAGAATTTGGGGTTTCTCTGTGGTTTGAAGGGTTGAGGCTTTCTGTAGGGTTTAGGGTTAGAGTCTAGTTTGGGGGTTTAGGGGTGTATGAGTTTAAGGGCATGGGGTGTGAGATTTAAGGGCTTAAGGCTGTAAGGGTTGAGCGCCTCGTTGAGGCGCTGCGGGCTTAAGGGTTTAGGGTTGTTTAGGGTTTAGGGTTCAGGGTAAGGAAAATGCTGAAGTTCAGTTTGAAGAACGACAGGCTCAAGATCTTCCAGTTTGTCAGTCAGGGTTTGGAAGTATTCTGGCATGCTTCCTTGCATTGTGACATGCACCTCTTGAACCCTATCAACAAGGCCTTGGATCTCGATCGCAGGCACCAAGCCACGAAACTTGAATCGGCTTTCGGATGTCTGCGGCAACTGAGCACCAAAAACCTTTGCGCTGAAGCCCTAAAGTTAATGACAGCCACTGCGAGAACATAGAAATCTACTTGTAAAACACACGGAAATTCCGACCCTAAACCCTAAACCCTAAACCCAACCCTAAACCCTAAACCCTAAACCCAACCCTAAACCCTAAACCCTAAACCCTAAACCCAACCCTAAACCCTGAACCCAACCCTAAACCCTAAACCCTAAACCCAATCTTGAAAAGGAACCCATTTAAGCGTGCCCCCTCTTCGCCTCGGAGTCCTGGCCCAGGTCCGCCCTCCACCACCCGCGCGAGGCCGCCGGCTGCGCCAGCGCAGGCCTCGTAATTTTTGTTTATTTTTTTAAAGTTCTTTTGGAATTTTTGAAATTTTTTTTTTTAAAGGGTTTAGGGTTCGTTTAGGTCCCTGGGTTCAGGATATTTTGGGTTAGGGGGGCCTTTGGAGCTTTCGGGGTTTAGGGCTTAAGGCCTTTAGGGTTTAGGGGTTTTGTGCAGGGTTTGGCAGACTCCAAAGAACGAATCCCTCTAAGGAGCTCCTAGAAGGTAAACCTTCATAGCATAGGGCCCCAAATCAGAGGATCCATTTTGTAGATGGCGCAGACTTCGGTTTAGGGTTTGGGGTTTGAGGCTTGAAAGTTTAGGGTTTAAGGTGAAGGTTAGCGTCCAGACTTTAGGATGTAGGGTTTCGGGTTCGGGGTTTAAGGATTTGGGGCTTTAGGGGCTTAGAATTTCAGCCTTCTGGCGTGTTGTCTTGTGTGGTTTCGCAGCATCAGTGGCCACGTCATCCAGCCACACGTCCGCGGCGGCTATGGAAGAGCTGGTTCGTGCATTCTCGCACGGCTTGGGCAGCGCCACCTTCGCCAGAGCCGGTGGCATCGCGAAGAGTTGAATGCCGTTTGGCATCATTGGTTTCTCTTCTCTACCAAACTCGAAAGATCAGCTTCGGAGAGTTGTCTTGCCACAGCTTTCGCCTCAACGGGGCCAGATCGCTTCCGTGCAGCCTCTACATCATGAATCTGCTCAGCTTTTGCCACTCTGCGTGCTTCGGAATCGCAGCAAACCAAAACCAGTAGATCTTCCACGTTCCGTCGCCTTCGCTTCTTGTCGCTCCCATCGGAGCCGATCCAAGCAAGCACTTAAGGTCTCCTGCACCGCATTTTCTACACAAAGGAAGACTATGGATCGCACTTCTGTGGAAGCTCTACTCGTTCCGCAGGAGGAGCGGGAGCAGGCGGACTGTCTTCAGCGTCGTACTGTGGAGTCCCCGGCAGCTAGAGCTAGAGCCCGGGAAAAGCTTCGTTTTCCGAGACATGTTTGACAAGCGTTTCGGAGGAGCCTTGGAAGGTCTTCCTAGTACTTGGAGGGTCATGGAACTTAGTAAGTAAGGTTCTAAGTACCTTAATTGGGATTATAAATAGTTGTAAGTATAGTTACCTTAATTATAACCCTAGTTACTAAGTCCCTTGATCCTTTAAGTAGGGACTCTATCCACAGCGTTTTGTGCGCAGGGGTTAAGTTACGAAGTGCGGGAGTTGAGGCTGTCCGGGAGTGTTGTTCTTTTTGCCAGGCGGGGTTTAGGGTTTAGGGGTTTAAGGGTTAAGGGGTTTAAGGGTTTAGGGGCTTAGGGGTTTAGGGTTTAGGGTCTGTCCTACAGGTGGAAGCTGCAATTTGAGTACTTGTGTGGATTTAGGGGCTGTGGAGTTGGGATTTTCGGGCTAGGCTCGACTTACTATCGTGAGGTTTGAGGCTAGGACCCAAGAGCTTGAGGCGCGGAGTGGGGAGCACTGTTGGCTAAGCGTCAACAAGTTGGAGAAGGCTTCCTTGGCAACTTGCGGAACCCCAAAACCCTACAACCCTAAACCCTAAACCCTAAAACCCAAAGCCCTAAACCCAGTACCTGAACAAGTTGGCATGCCCGAAGACCTCAAGGCTACAACACGCACGGGCATGCTTGAAAGGAAAGTCCAACTGAAGGTAGCCACTACACCTTCAACCTAATGTCTGAACTGATTAAGGAACCCTGGCCCTATACCCCAAAGTAATCGGATTCATATTCAGAACCCAAAGAAAGACGCTGGGTTTCTTAGTCAGATACCTATATCACCATGAACCTGCACATCTTGGAGTACTTAGGGCAGAACCACCGCCACGGTTGTAGCCACCAGAGACACCCCTCCACAGAGGAGCTCGGAAGTTGCCTCCTAGGGTCTGCTAAGCGCCGGGTTTCAGAGGCTTTGGGCCTGGGGATCTCGAGTTGAATGGCGTCTGACGTGGAAGCCTGAAAAAGTACATTATTTCTTGGGGTTCGGTGTTATGGTTCTACTGTAATGTACCCCAAAACCCCTATTCTAACCAGCAAGGCTCCTTTATCAGAAGTCTGATCCGTAAGGAGCCGAGAGCTTCTTGGAAAATCTGCCAGGGTGGGGTTGATGCTCGAGGCGGATCTGCCCGACAAAGTTGAATTTGGTGCATTATAGTCTATAGTGTATGGGAGTTTCCCCATAGTCTATGGTACATCGTATAGTAGATTTTCCAGTATATTACGGGAAAGAACTCAAAACTAGGACGAACAGTGCCGAGCTCAAGCCAAAGGTGGGCCCCCAAGTTTCCCTTCATCGCAAACTCAACACCCCGAGGCACGCTAATTGCGCAGAAGCCTGGCCTTCACGTCCTGCAGGCCATCGGAAATCCTCGGGGGAGTGGGGGCTGAAGCTGCGCTTAAGGTTCAGGCTTTGGGGTTTCGGTGTTGTGTCAATTTGGGATCGTCAAGGTGGCAGGATATTTTGCAGGCAAGCTCTGGGACTCAACATGGCAGTGATCCGATTGTAGGGGAGGTTCCGAAAGTTGGGAGATGCTTCTGGTGATCGTAATCTTCCATGTTCTGTAGCGGAGAATGAGTACACAGCTTCTACGGCAAGCACAGACATTCAAAAGATGGTGCCCGCAGGCCCGACCTTCATGAGGTCGAATTTCCTGCCCTGGCCCCAGTTAAAACCGACTTGCCATCGCCAAGGATTGGTCCGGTCCCTTTCTCATTTGTGGCTTGGCAGCCCAAGACGGCATGACGGGCCCACCCACATGGTGCCAACAGCAGCCCGTTCTGAGGCGCCGGGCAGTTCGCGGCCGCTGTCGTCGCCCCGGACGGCACCCACTGCAACCTGCATATGGGGGGAATGGAGTATGGGGACTTTTGTTGGGGATTATACAGGGACTACTGTAGGGATCATGACCCTAAACCCTAAGCCCCAAAACCCTAAACCGCTTAGGTCTCAAGGCTTTGCCTGTAAGCCCCAAGTCTACATGCTGAGCGGAAAATTCCCTCCACCACTGAAACGTGCACCCAACGCCCCAGCTTAAGCTTTCATGTAAACGCCCACCATGCCGCTATGTGAGATCATAAGGGCGGGCATATTATATATATATATATGTCCGTCTGAGGAGCCAGAAAGCAGGAAAACCTCCAAACGTGAAGCCCTGCTTGCCAAGCCTTAGCCTTAACCACAAGAAACCCAAACCCTTAATCCTAAACACGAAAACCACAAACCGCGAGAATTCATCTGAACTCCACCCCCACAAGCTCCAAAGCCCCTCGTAAGGCAGTTCTCTGGATGTTTCGGGACCTTCGCGGTGCCCGAAGCCACCACCCCGGCAGCCACTGCGGCTTTGGCCTACATGCAGTTCTATAGGCCCATGCAGTGCTTTCGTGGTTCAAGGTTTTAGAAGCATAAGGGTTTGGGAACAGGGCTAAGGGGGTCTAGGATTTCAGGTTTGCGGCGGCGTTTTAGGGATCAGGGTCAGGCATCTTAGGTTATATGGCATGCTTCAGGCTTGGGATTTTCGGAGCTCGAAACTGATGGCGGCTTGAAAAACTGGAACGGAGACAGGTTTCAGGAGCCAGATGCCCATACTGGGGCTTAAGGGCTGCTCAAGATGGCTTCCCCAAACCCCAAACCTTGAGGTCCCGGCGCTTCCCGCTGCCGCCAACGAGGCCCCCGAGCCCATGGCTCCATGCACTTTGAGATCTACCCGGGCACAGGTATAGGGTTTAGTGTTTAGGGGTAGGGTTTCGGGATTACCTAGCCTTACTAGCGGCCTCTGGGTCCAGCTCATTTTGCAAATCGGGTTCAAACATATTCTTGGGCTGGGACTTTGGGCTTCGGCATTGGGTCTCGGTCGTTCAGGGCTTATGGGCCGTACATATGACAAGCTACGTAGCTCATTTGGCGGCATCCTCCGGCCAGTTTCAATCCTGCGCGAATGCACTCAAGATCCCGCGAACTCGCGTGTTTTGGGCTTAAGACCAGGACTGCCAACGCCAAGCGCCTAAGGCAAGTAACCTAAATGGGAGTTTCCGAAAATCGGGGGGGCCCTTATATAGTACCCTAAATACTAGGATCCTTAGTGTAAGGACCCCAAGATGAGGTATCCTCAATTTCCGGAAACTCCCAAATCCCCAAAACCCTAAACCCTAAACCCTAAACCCTAAACCCTAATCCCCAAAACTTCTAAACCCTAAACCCTAAATCCCAAAAATTCTAAACCCTAAACCCTAAACCCCAAAAGCCTTAATCCCTGAAGGGCAGCGCTGCGTTATTTTGGGCCTCAGCCTCGGCATCACCCCTCCGCTTTTGTTGCTCTTCTTGGAGGATCATGGGACTTAGTAAGTAAGGTGAGCCTTAGGGTTTAGGGTTCCTTTAAAGGGGATCTATAAGGGTTCTTATAATGGGATCTATAAGGGTTTCGGGTCTTCTTGGAGGATCACGGGACTTAGTAAGGTATAGGGTTTAGGGTTCCTTTTCATAAGGGTACTATAGGGTTCTATAATACGGTTCCTTAAAGGGATCTATACTAGGGGTTCTATAAATGGGGATCATGGGACTTAGGAAGTAAGGTTAGAAGTACCCGAACTAGGGTTATAAGTAGTTATAAGTATAGTTACCCCAATTATAACCCTAGTTACCAAATCCCATGATCCTTTAAGTAGGGACTCTATCTACAGCGTTTTGTGTGCAGGGGTTAATTTACGAAGCTGCGGGAGCTGAGGCTGTCCGGGAGTGTTGTTCGTTTTGCCAGGCCGGGTTTAGGTTTTAGGGTTTAGGGGTTTAGGGGTTTAGGGTTTAGGGTCTGTCCTGCGTGGATTTAGGGGCTCGACTTACTATCGTGAGGCATGAGGTTAGGACCGAAGAGCTTGAGGCGTGGAGTGTGGGTTTGGGGTAGCATTGTTGGCTAAGCGTCAGCAAGTTGGAGAAGGTTTCCTGGGCGACTTGTTGAACCCTAAACCCTAAGCCCTAAAACCCTAAACCCAAAGGAGAACAGTCCTCATCGCGCCCAAAAAGAGCTCACACTAAACCCTACACCATAAGTCAATCCCTAAGCCCTAAACCCCAAACCCTAAATCGTAATCCCTAAACCCTACCTGGAGGATCATTTGACTTAGTAAGTAAGGTTATAAGTACCTTGATTGGGGTTATAAGTTATAAGTATAGTTACCCTAATTATAAACCTGATCCTGTAAGCAGACCCTAAACCCTAAACCCTATAGATCCCTTTAAGGAACCCCTATAGATCCCTTTAAAGGGACCCTTGAAGGAACCCTAGTTACTAAGTCCCATGATCCTTTAAGTTGCCTTCTTCCTCCTTAGACCCTGGAGTTTAGGGTTTCCCAAACTCCAAATCACGAAACGAAGAAAGGACCCTAAACCCCTAAAACCGAAGCAGCCAAACCACCTAAAGAGGTGTAGTACCCTTAGAAGGACCCCGTAAAGGTACCCTTAAAATTCCCTCAAACCCCCGAAACCCTGAAACCTGGGGCTCTGAACCCGGATGCCACTCGTTTTGCTCCGGTCTCAACGAAGATGGCACCAAGCTCCCGCAGCACGTCGCCGCTGAGTAGTGGTTCCTCCACAGAGTTGAGGAGTCATGTAGTTTTAGGGTTTAGGGTTTAGGGTTTGGGGGAAGTGGATTAGATTACGATTTTGGTGTTTGTGATACTACATTTGCATCTAGTTACCCTAAGGCCCTAACGAATAGCCTGGGTAACTATCCAGGCAGTTGTGTTAGAAGGTCTTGGAACATCGGCCGAAGAGTTCAGGCGGCTTGGAGTTTGAAGCTTCATGGACAAGAACTGTGGGGTAACCTCGCAACATTGCTAGAAACACAACCCAAAGGGGAAACAAGGTGCTTCAACATGATTCCTTCCTAAAGTCGTTGAGCTACGGGCTTTTCACACTTCGCGGTCTTTGAGAGGTTGCAGGGTTGGTTTAAGGTGCAAGGTCTTGAGGATTCATGCTTAGTCCAGTCGGCATAGAGCACGAGCGTCGGCCCCGAAAGTTGAAATGCCCCAAGCCTCGAGCAAGAAGCAGTTTACTACGGACCTTAAGCAACAGAAGAAACCTCCTCTCCCTTCGTTCTATTCGTCTTAGCTTGGAAAAAGATCGCGAAAGCCCAGGTTCAGACATTTTACCACACCCAGACCGAAGCTTAATCCGAAATCTTCCAGATCCAAAGCCCCCCTCGGCGCGCCACGGCAAGCCAAGACTAACCCCAAAACCCAAACCACAAGCCCGAAACTCTAAAACCTGAACCCTAAACCTCGAATCCTACACAGCCCTGAACCCTGCGCCCGAAACTCAAAGCCCGAAGCCCTAAACCGGCCTCGTCTGAAGCACATCCCGGGAAAGGCAGCCTTCTCGGAGATTCTCGGTCTACGGCCTAATGTAAGGGCCTTGATAATTAGAATAGGGTTTAGGGATCCTGTATAACATAAATACAATAAGGAACGCCCAAAATAGTAGAGGTAATTATTAAGGGCCCTATATTAGGGTTTATGGTTCAGGGGTTCAAGTCTGAGGCTCAGGGAGCTTAGGTTTCGGGTTTGGGGGTTCACTTAGAGCTTGGGGTTTAGGGTTTTAAGGCTTCAGCCTTTAGGGTTCAGGGTCGGAAGCTTTCGTTTTCTGAGTTGGGATCGAAGCTTCGGGGCTCTTGGCTTAGGCTTTGGGGTTTAGGGTTTAGGGTTTGGGGTTTAGGGTTTAGGGTTTAGGGTTTGGGGTTTAGGGTTTAGGGTTTAGGGTTTAGGGCTTAGGGTTTAGGGGTTTAGGGTTTGGGGTTTGGGGTTTCAAGGTCTCGGTGTACAATAGGGGCCTCAATGATCAGAATAGGGTTTGGGGGCCCATTGTACTACGTTTGTAATAAGGAAACCCAGAATAGTAGTGGTACGTATTTAGGCCCCTATAGTGAATCCGAGAGCCGGACCAACAAGCACTTTCACTCAAAACCCGGCTGACCACAATCTGAAACCTGTAAGAACCCCTTTTGGGCTCCTTTCAGGAACCTTTGTGGCACAGAAACCGTCAGAGAACACCAAAAAGCATCCCGGACCCTCATGAGATAAGAAAGGTGCATTCGTAATTTGAATATGGTTTTGGGGTCCAGTAGACTAGAATTACGTATAATAAGGAACCCCCAAAATAGTATAGGCAGTTTTATCAAAAACCCTATATTATAGTACCCTTACAGATCCCTTGTAATAATCCCTTAAAGACCCCCTTAAAGGAACCCCAAAATAGTATAGGTATTCCTTGAGGCCCTTAGAGTAGATCAGCTCCGTCTCTGGCCGGGCTGCAGCAGCCGCCAGGCCCACCTCTGTGAGGTGGGCGGGGGTTTACTGGTTATGGGTTTAAGGGTGTAGGGTTTAAGGTGTATGGCTTATGGGGTTTAGGGTGTTGGGTTTAAGGGTTCAGGGTATAGGGTTTAGGGGTTTAGGGCCTAGGGGTTTAGGGTGCAGGGTTTGGGGGTGTGTGTGAGCTCTCTCAGCTCTCTCTTCTGGTTCGTCCTTTATCATCGCATGACGAACAACTCAAAACAAACCGCATTTCCAATAAGGGCTTAGGGAATGATCTAGGGTTTTGGATCTTGCAAATCTTTATGTGTGTAAATGTATACGTATATGTTTTGTTAGTAAAAATATTCGTATTCATATTCATGTGTATATATATATATACACACACGCATACATATCTGGCCTGTGCTGGAAGTCGTGCACCCCCGGCCCTTAGGGACAGATCCCTGTCAAACGGACAAGCTGAAAAGGGGAAAAGGCTTCGATAAGATGGGCGTGCTTAAAGTAGGGTTTGGGAGGATCATTTTTGGTGCGCTTGGTATGGGAATCCCAGTGGGATCTCTTTGCATTTATTCAGCCAAAGTCCTAAGCCCTCAACCCAACCTCTAAGCCGAAAGACCCGCCTCTACTCCAAACCCTAAATTCCTATATCAATCCGTAAAAAGCTAAGCCCGTACAGAACCGCATAGCACATGATTTCGATCAAATGCCACGATTTAAAACACCTTCATCCACCCGCCCTGCCTGGATCCAAGCAGCGTCTGAAGGGTCACCCAGAAAGGCTGTCGGAAATCGCCAGGTCTGAGGGGTAACACCTGCGCTGTGGCAATGAGAAACCATGAACACTAGGCTTCTTTTGCGGGGCTCTTCAATGCACCGATTTAGGCCCCTATACGTGAGAGGCAGACAGACAGAAGATAGAGTGGAGGGGAGGCTTTGCGGTTTTAGGGCTTTGGGGTTCAGGGTCTAGGCTTTGGGGCATTAGGGCCTAGGGACTCCGGGGAGAGAACAGGGTTAACAAGGCTTCATACAATCAGCTCTAGTGCAGCAAAAACGGACATTCTCGTGCAATAGCGGTAGTTTTTTCTGGTGTATTGAATTTTGTCGCTTCTCTGGCAAAGTAAAGTATAATGCACCTCCAGAGCCCTGCTCTAACTAATCAGGTAGCAGTTTGCCATCAGCCTACAACTTTCACCTAGATCCAAGAGTAACCTAGGAATAAAAAGGGTGCCCTTTTTGGTTTTATAGGGGCTGATAACGGAACCTGAACCCTAAAGAAGGGAATAAGGGCCTACTCTAGGTCCTAGTCACGTGTAACTGCAACACACCGCCAAAACCCCACAACCTGAAGCCGGTCATAGAGCCGAAAACTCTTTTATAGGATCCTTAAGGGAGGGTGGTTCAAGGGGGGAGGGTATAAGGAATCCTTCACTAGGGAGAATTAGGGATCACTAGGCTATATACCCCCCTTGGACCCCCCTCCCTTAAGGATACTACAACTCTTGGCTTCGGAGGGCTTGCAATACAGTTTGGTCCTACAGCCCAAGAAAGCTACCTTTCTAGGGCCCCAAAGTACCTTTATAGGGACCCCTTTAAGGCCCAAATATGTACTAGACTCTACGAGGTCATGATATAAATCCTGCATTACCTTAATGACCCTAGACTATGGGAATTCTGGTATACTCCTTAATATGGGTAATGCAGGATTTATATGCAGGTGTCGATCTCAACAAGTTCCTATAATTTGGGCTTTCTATTAAACACTAAAGGAACTCAAACGCGATCCCAAATCGATACCTGGAACACAATTTGGAGGTCAAGGCTCCTCCAATCGACCTACGAACCCGGATCGAGGATTCCAGTTTTTTAGAGTTGGTCTCTTCACGGTCATGTTAAACGCGGGCTGCAGAGCCCCAAAACAGCGCAGCCTAAACAAAACCGGAGAGCCCCTCCCTCCGCTTCGAAGCTTGAATCCTGGAACCTCTATCCGAAGCCTATAGGGCCCTAAACCCTGGACCCTAAACCTAGACCCCAGACCCTAGACCCTAAACCCTACGCCTCTATCCAGCTCTATGCGAAGCCTGCGGCCAAAACCCTGAAGCCCCAAAACCCTTGAACCACAAAAGAACCCTCAAGCACTGAACCCTCCAGCCAAAAACCCTGGACCCTGAAGCCATGAAACACCATATCAATCCATAAAGGAATCCACCTAAGAACCATTTTAGCCGTATAAGACCAAGACCGTGCGAAAAAAATCGAAAGGCTACAGCCCCGCAATAGCCACGATGCTGGCCTGGCCTTCGTCCCGGGCAGATCTATGGCGTCACCATGGCCCATATCCTCATAAGGCTTTCCGAGCTTGATGTTCGGATATGATGCAAGGGCCTTCACGTATATGATAGAATGGGGTTTGGGGGTTCATTATAGTATACTAACAGTAAGGAACCTCAAGGATTAATGCTGGTAGTTCCTTTGGCTAGTATTCTAAGGGCCTCAGTGGGGTTTGCGACATGGTACACATCTTTTGCATCAGTTTTTGGACGATCATGGGTATTGTGACTAAAGATTCAGACCCTGTATTGCTAGTTATTTTTGTCAAGCCCCACGTTAACAAAGCAAGATCCGTTAAGAAGGAACCCTAACCCCTCACCCTAAACCCGAATCTAATTAATCCCAACACCCTCAACCCTAAACGCCCCACCCTAATTCAATCCGAGAAGCCCCAAACCCTAAACCCAAAGGAGAACAGTCCTCACGCCCCCCTAATAGAGCTCACACTTAACCCTACACCATGACTCAATCCCTAAGCCCTAAACCCCAAACCCTAAATCGTAATCCCTAAACCCTACTTGGAGGATCATGGGACTCAGTAAGTAAGGTTATAAGTACCTTAATTGGGGTTATAAGCAGCTATAAGTATAGTTACCCTGATTATAACCCTAGTTACTAAAGTCCCATGATCCTCCAAGTAGTCAAGTCCCTAAACGCTCCCAAAAGGCTGACCCTAAACCGTAAACCCTACAACGGAACTCCGTGGCCTCGAGAACGGTAGTGCCCCGCAGCGCCAGGCCTCGTAGTAATTTAAGGACGAGGGATTCGGGGTTTAGGGATTGTGGATTAAGGGTTTAAGGATTAGGGATTTGGGGTTTAGGGATTCGGGGCTTTTTTGCTGCTGCGCTGTGATTCTATCCTTAAGTCCTGGACTTAAAACTACGTAATCTATACTATGGCTATACACCTCCTGGATTTGGGATTTAGGGTTTAGGGCTTCAGGTTTTAGGATGAAATTTTGGGGCTTGGGGGTCAGAACCTACCAACGGGGATCAGCGCTCAGGGCCTCCCAAATTAGTACAAGTCTAATCACGCATGGTTCCGAAACTCGCAATTCCTCTCCCACTCAGGGAGTTCGCAACTGAGATAGGAATCTATGGAGTAGGGCTGAATAGGGTTTGCGCTTCTGTGTCCCCGTTACTTGTGGACCCGAAGCAATGGAAGCCTTCATAGATCCATTAAAATGCAACCTGCGCCCTGATCCCCCTAAAGCCCTTAACCTTAAATCCAAAGCCCTTCAACCCTATACCTTACATCCCTTAAACCCTACGCCCTAAACCTTACATCCCCAGTCCCTGAAACCCGAAACCTTACATCCCAAGTCCCTTAAACCTTAAACCTTACATCCTAACCCCAAACCTTACATCCCAAGTCCCTGAAACCCCAAACCTTACATCCTAAGTCCCTTACACCCTTGAACCTAAACTCCTAAGTCCTTCAAAACCTAAAACCATAAATCCTAAATCCAAAACCGTACGCCTTAAAGGCCTGACAAGAAGGCCCTAAACTCTAAGCCCTAAACCCTAAACCCTAAGCCCTAAACCCTAAGCCCTAAACCCTAAACCCTAAGCCTAAGCCCCAAAACCCTTCCAGTTGCAGCAGTAGCTGCCGACGTGCCGAAGCAGGGGGCCAAGCCTTGAGGAGCTTAGGGTTTGGGGTTTAAGGTTTAGGATTATGGGTGTAGGGTTGAGAGTTTAGGGTTGTGGGTGATTTAGGATTTAAGGCTATAGGGCTAAGGGTTTGGGGTTTTTGGGTTGAGGGTTATGAGTTTAGCGTTGGGGGTTTAGGGCAATGGGTTTGGGATCATAGGGTTGAGGGCATAAGGCTTATGGCTGTAGGGGCGCTTCGGGGCGGCTTCTGGAGGGCTCCATGAGGATATGCAGGGTTCAGGATTCAGGGGTTTTTAGAAGGCCTCAGGTTGAGTGACCGGCGGCTACGCTAGGGTTTAGGGTTTAGGGGTTTAGGGGTTTAGGGGTTTAGGGGTTTAGGGGTTTAGGGGTTTAGGGTTTAGGGTTACGGGTTTAGGGTTTAGGGGTTTAGGGGTTTAGGGGTTTAGGGTTTAGGGTTACGGGTTTAGGGTTTAGGGGTTTAGGGGTTTAGGGTTTAGGGTAAACCCGCAACCCTAAACTTGGTTTCTGCTGCCAGAGGTCTGTACCTGAGAGGTCCCGATGGGGTCACCTAAATCTAAAACCGGAGACCCTGACCCATCAGCTGGATTCTTGTTAAGGACGGCAATTCAAGCTAGCATGGTAAGGAAACCCCATTATTTACTGCGGAAGCCATTTTATGATAACTTGCACTCCTCAACGGGGAGTTTCCGAAAATTGGTGGTACCTTGTTTTGGGGGGTCCTTATAATAAGGATCCTACTATCTCGGGTACTATATTAGGGTCCCCTATTTTCGGCAACTCCCAAAAAAGAACCCAGTCAGGCCCAACCTATCTGTCACCCCAAAAAATCGCCGCGATCCCCACCTCAGCCTCCAACTCGAACTCCTCAAGGTTTAGGGTTTAGGGTTTAGGGTTTAAGGCCTCAAACCCCCAACCCTAATCTCGAAGATGCTGGAACCCTAAAAAAGCCCTAAACCCTGAAACCCCAACTACCCTGAACCCCGAAATCCTAAACCCACAAAAACCCTAAAGCCCTGAACCCTAAAGCCTTCAACTCGCCCCTCCCATTTGCCTCGAACCTAAACCCGCATAAACCCCTAAACCCCTAAACCCTAAACCCTAAACCCCCAACCCCAAGAGCCCTAAACTCAAACCCCAGAGCCCTAAACTCACAGAGCCGAGGCGCAGGATCAGGGAAAACACCGTCAGGACCAGGAGCAGCGGCACCTCGTAGCCCAGGAGCGCCTGATCAGCAGCTTCGGATTGAGGGGTTGGGGTTTAGGGGTTCAGGGGTTTAGGGTTTAAGTGTTTAGGGTTCAGGCTTTAGGGTTGCAGGGATTGGGGTATAGGGTTTGAGGGTTGGGGTATAGGGTGTAGGGTTTAGAGGCTTAGGGTTTGGCTGCGTGGGTTTAGGGCTTAGGGCTTGTTTTGCAATGGCGCTCTCTCCGCAGATCCAGCACCCATCTCTCGAGATAGTTTGGGGTTTGGGCTTCAGGGTTTGGTTGCTTGGGAACAGATCGCTTTCGAGCTCTGGTGAAGCAGTTCGGGTCAGGGGAAGATGACAGGGCCCATCATAAGACTCCTCCATTCCGACATGCAGGGACAATGCTGACAACCCTCCAATCGGTTCGGGTCTTGCCTTCAGCACGTGAAGGTGGCCGCCCATGAGCAGCCACTGGTAGTAGCCTCTGCAGGCAGGCGCTGATCATTCACAGTCTGCAGACATGTGATTGTGGGTCCTTTAGGAGAGTTATGAGCATTGAGATCGTCTCAGCCCTTGAACCGAAAGCTCCTCGGACGTTCTCAGCCCGGGGCTGGTTTCCGCTAGAGAAGCTGACACCTGAAATCGGGCGGTTGACCTTACGGATTCCCGGATTCTAGTTGATGTTGCTCTTGTCCCTATTCTTATGATGACGAGGACCAGCACCACCACCAATGCTACCCATCCCGTTGCCAGTAACACTGCACCTCTGCAAGCATAACAGATGCTTTTAGCTACTGCTGCTGCACCACCACCGCGAAGCCCAACCAACCCTAAACCTTAATGCCGAAACCCCAAGCCGTTTCCGTGCCGGCTCATAACCACATGAGCTTGTGCTGCTGGGTGACTCCCTCGCTGCCGCGCATAAGTGGCCTCTGTGAGACTCGAACCCAAAGCAGGTCTGGGGGGGATACTTGGAGGTAAAACTATACTTATAACTCACATTAGGGTACTCATAACCCTCCTCATAACTACGCATGAACCTCCAAGTAGGGAGGGTTTGCTTTTTTGGAGGCCCTTGTCTTCTCACGGCCACAGAAGCCGAAAGGCTTGCAGACAATCCGAGCGAGAGCAGGTGAGCTTTTGGTAGGGTTTAGGGTTTAGGGTTTTGGGTTTAGGGTTTAGGGTTTTGGGTTTTGGGTGCATAGGCACTGCTTCAGACCTTTGGCCTGCCCAAAACCCGCATCACAACCTGCACCCTAAAGAGTAATCCTGGACCTTACTGGCTCAGCGGGACACGGGATCTTTGCAAGCCAAACCCCACAATCTGGAAGCAGCAATGCTAAGCAAACCTTCCACAGAAGCCTCAGAACTGAATCGTGAATCACGACACCTCAAGAACCGCAACAGGAACCCCCAACATCTAAACCCTACCCAATGCTGGCCACAAGCTTGGGAGACCCAAAGCAGTAGATTTGCCATGTTGGCCTGGGGTTTAAAGGCACTTTGAGGTTTTTGGCTTCAGGTTTTTTTTTTGAACACCTTTTTCCATACTGCAGTACAGCATAGAGAGCCCATTTTGGCTTCAGGTTTATGGGCAAGGGTTTAGTATTGACAACTGATTGGCTCTGAACCCAGATGCAGAGGAAAGGTGCTTTAGGGCTCAAAGACCTTGCCTCCAAGGCCCTACATTCCTGCTTGCAGAGGCCAAGCTGCAAACTTGCCGTAGAGAGCCCAGTAGGGTTGCCACGCCAGGTGCACGGTCTTCGCAACAAAGATCAGAGCGTACCTGAGAAGGAATTTTCAATCGAACATCGCATATCTCCTACAATCACTTGTGTTCCTCACCTCAGAAAGCTATGGGAAACAGCTCTCAGGCACAAGGGCTCAAAGTTTGGAGCATGGGGCTTTCAGGGGGCTTTGGGATTCAGAGACCTAGAGGAACAACGAGACCCAGGACAACCATCATGAAGAATCCCGACAGAGACGCAACTGCTGTATAGGTCTGGTCAGGCAGCTCCGAATCTCAGGCATTTCCGCCGAGAGACAAAAGGCCCACGTTGCCGAAGATGACCATCAATACGAAATATCCGTGATTCCTCTGCAGCATCCGTGCTAAGTGAGAGGATGATCAGCAGGTATCGGTCCGTTGTTGAGCTTATTTATCAGTCTTTGCAGCAATGTCTTTCTTTTGGAGCTGTTCTATGGACATGGAACATAAGACTCAGAAACCCTAAACCCTTAGACTCCAAACTCACCCCAATAAGAATCATGGATTCGGAATCCCTTCCTTCGGCGGCTTCCGAACAGAAGCTCCGGTCTGCTGCAAAGCTGCACACCGTACACTGTACTTTAAATCCTACCAGTACGCCCCCCCGCCGCCCTCCAACAAAAAACAGCGCCTTCGAAAGAAGTCTAGCCTTCAGCCCTGCAATAAACCAAATCCTACGCCCTGAGCTTCAAACTCCGTCAACGTCCCACGCTAAACCCTGAAAAAACTAGGCCCAAGCCGGTGTAAAGCCCCCAAAGAACCCCGGAAACCGCCTTTGTCCGATGATGTTCTCAGTGATCACACCTGGGTGTACAGTGAGATAGGGTTTAGGTTTAGCGGTTCAGCGCTTTTAGGGCTTTCGGATCTTCTCATGTCATTTTGGCGGCTTGTCGGGCTTTCGGCGCTTGAGGCTTGCGACTTAGGGCCTTTTGCATTGAGGGTTGTGAGGTCGAGGGCTTGGGCTGTAGGGGCTTAGGGTTTAAGGGTTTCGGTTTCGGTGTTGCAGGGCTTTCTGGTGTGCTCCAATGCTTAGCCACAGGCGTAACCAAGCAGACACTTTTTCCTATGAGTCTTGGGAGCCAGTGCACATGCATCTACCTCATGTCGTCTCACGACGTGACAGCGGACGTAAGATCAAGGGTCGAGCTCAAAGACTTTGGACTCAGATCGCAAAAATCGCAAGCTATAAACCCAACACCCCTTAAAGACGAAAGGCAATAATGATCCATGCGGAGGACGCACTGCCCCAGCCGCTTGCTATGATGAGCCCTGGGAGGCTTCCTGCAGTGAAGCGACTGATTCCGGGAAACGCGAACTCAAAGAGCAGCTCGAGTGGGCTTAGGGGTCAGGGCGTGGAGTGTAGCGTTGAAGGGAGCTTTCAGAGCCACAGTTCCTTGAGATTGAGGCGACGACATTCAGGCGTTGGTGGGTTGGTGTGAGCTTCAGTGTGGCAAACCTGAAACAGCAAGGCTTTGCCCAAAGCTTGAGCCAGAGTCTGGAAGGTTCATGACTGTACGTGTTCCGAGGGTTTCCCTTGTGACAGAAATTTCAGTCTGGGCTGTAGTTTTTAGGGTTTAAGACTTGGGGCTTACTACGAATTACCTCTGCCCATTCGAGTTGAGAACAGCACAAGTGCCTGAAAGTGCGGCTAGGCGCTCTCCCTGGAACAACGCCCAGCAGGCGAAAAGCCTCCCAGATCCACACCCCTGATATCCTCAAACTCTCCCTTAAACTAGGGCTTCAACGAACATGACCATAACCTACTTGTTTACAGGCTGGTATTGCTCAATCCGTTTAGGGAATTTGCCGGGACCCTGCGAACAAGTAGATATTGGCAGTTTAAAGTACATATTTGCCTCTCGAAACCCAACACCCAAAATAACTTAAGAAGGAATGCAGCAAGGGCTCCACTGCTGGCAGCTATCGCACCAGCGGGGCAAATAGTACAGCTGCGGCCCTTCCTTGATCTAGGCTCTTTTGAAAGAAGTTCATCATAAGTCGAAAACATTACAGGGTGGGGGCAGCACCTAAACTCGATTATGGCAACCATGCGGCCCGTCCTTTATTTACTCTGCTCCAACGGCCTGAGGTTTAGCCCCTCAAGCCAGCAACCCACAGGGCTTAGGGGTCAGAGTTTGGAGTTTAGGGGTTTAGGGGTTTGCGGGGAAAAGGGGTTTAGGGCTTGGGGTTCAGAGTTTTGGGGTTTAGGGTTTGGGGTTTAGGCTTCATTCCTGCGGCCAGGGGGTGAGCTCTAGCTGCCACCACCGCGAATCCGAAGCCCTTGAAGGGACGAGTCGCCCAAGTGACGGGGTAGCGGCCGGCCTGAGCGGTTTAGGGTTTAGGGTTTAAGGTTCGGCACCAATAAAAATAAGTGTAGGGTATGTGAGCTTATGGACTGTTGGTTTGAGTTCAGCAACGCTTTGGTGCATCTTGCAAGCTGCATGACAGAGGGCTTTAAGGTTTGGGCAAGCCCTGAACCCTACACCCTTGGAGAAGTCCTGCAATGCAGCGCACCACAAAACACCTACCAGCAACCTTCAAGTCTCACTGAACTCCTGAACCTGCAGGTCGGGGCGGTTCAAAGCTTTGGGTTCAGAGGTTTGGGGTCGGGTTAAGTCTTACAGTTTATTAGCCTTGACATGAACCTGAAACCATGAGATCCTGAAGACCCGCAGGTTTAAAGCTGTTCGGCCCTGTACAGCCCATTGTCGCCCACCTCCGGCCAGGGCGGCTGTGGGGAGCCTGACCGGGGCGACGGCAATGGAAGGGTCGAAGCCGTAAGCCTAACATCAGAAACCCGAAAATCAGGGTTTAGGGTTCCGGGTTTAGGGGAACACCCTAGTTCCTAGCGCCAAATTAACCCCAGACCGTAGAGTGAGGGCCGAAGGCGCAATGCTGAATGCGACATGCTGCAGGGCACATGTGTGACATGGAGGACTAGTCCCACGCCTGGAGCACAGAAGCAGGAGGCAACAAAGTTCCACCTCGCATCCAAGCTCACATTTGCTTGCTTGCTGCATCTGCTTCACCGTTTGAGCTGTACGGTTTTGAAGTCCATTCACGGCCCCGGGCGCGAAAGCTCCACAGAGTGCAATGATGGATGTCTGCAAAGTGACCTGTCTGGACTGCAGAGCATGGTGTTTGCTAAGGGCCTGGCACGTTACTCTAAACCCTCGTCCTTACAAATTGTCTCAAGCCCATAGGGCTGCACAAACCGTTTTTAATCAATATCAGCCGCATGAGCCCGTCCTATTACCTGTTTCAGCAAACACAGCAATGAAAACCCTAGACCCTACAACCCTAAACCCTGAAAGCCCTAAACCTTGAAACCCCTATATAAACCCTCAAACCCTCAATGCCCAAAGCGTTGCCCAGGCACAGAAACTGTACCGACACCCAGGCAGCCAGCAGAAAGGCGGCGGTCTCACCAGACGTGGCATTGGGATCAGGTCCTCCAGAGCGGCGTTCTTGGGATTGGGCTGGAGGTTTACGTCTTAAGGCTTGTGCCTTGGAGTTGAGGTTTTAAGGCTTCAGGGCTTGAGGTTTAGGGCTTGGGGGGGCTTAGGGCTTGTGGCTTGGAGTTGAGGGTTTACGCTACTATAGGGATGCATTCCCCATTCCCTAACCCCTAAACCCTAAACCCTATAGATCACCTTAAAGGATCCCTTAAAGAGGCCCTAAATCTTCAATGGGATCCATTCCCCCATTCCCTACTAAGCACCGGACAGGGGACAGGCAGTGGCAGGGGTAAGGATGGTATTTACGGCCTCGGGGAGCCTCGAGAGCTCTGGGTAACATAGCGGGCCTTAATGATTAGAATACGGTGTTGGGATAGATTCTACCTTAGTCATAGCACTGGGCTTTTGAGTAACCAGGGAGAAAAAAGTACAAACTTTCATTTCATAATGGCTCCTTTAAGAAAAAGGCATGAGAGTATGTTACTCAAAAGCCCAGAGTAAGGAACCAGAATGGTATTGGTAATTACGCAGACCCCTATGTCACACGAGATCCTCCGTCTGACCTCCTATTTGGGTTCGCTTCTTTTGGGCAAAAACCATATGGAACAGCATGCATCTACTTCCGTTCAATCCCCTCACGGAACCTCGCAAGGTTTTTTCAACTCTGCATTCCTTCAAGCATGCTGCCGAATTGCATCTACCCGGCACGTAGCTCGGAAATGCCACTCCGCTGCAATGGAGCCTGCAACCAGCGGAGCAGCTATGAACCATCAGATCGCGTCACAGATCTGTGCGAAGCCACGAGACTGAAATCTGAGTCCGCTGGGAAAGATCATAGTAGTCAAGGGCATTCTTGTAGCTTGACAGCGCCTGGAAATATTTCTCAAGTTCTGCCGAGTACTTCTGCATCTCCCGACGATACCTATCCATCTGCTTCTGGCGCATCCGCCGATCAGCCAATTGCTTCTTCTTGGCTTCAAAGGCCTCTTTGAGCTGTAGCATTTTACGGGCAACCAGGGCGACGCGGACAGGCATCATTGCATATGACAGTCCAGCCGTGAGTGTTGCAAACGTCCCCTCGGCTGCTGCGATTGTAACTTCCACTGCGAGTGCCTCTGACACAAGTGAGGCTGCTGCAGTCACGGCGCCTTCTGCCAGGAGCATATCAAGGGCAGCTGCCTGGCAGGCCGTCTCTATGGCACTCACTCCCAGCGTCAAAGAACCTGCCACCGCTTCACCCAAAGCAGAACTGGTGATTACCTCACCTACCAGTCCTGCCGAGCCAAGCACTGCAAGACCTCCACCACTTGCAACAGAACCTGCGACATAAACCCCACCAACTGTGGCCAGAAGACCGTGTCATGCGATCCCGTGCAGAACTTCTGCTTTCACCATGCTCGCGCTCAAAGCACCGGCCTTCGAGAACTGCAAACATGTTTTGAGACCACAGAGCTTGCCGTAACTGCTGACCTCCAGTGCTCCGTCAGAGGCCATCCAAGATTTGAACTCCTTTGCCAGTGTAACACATACATAGTCTAGCGAGGCTGTCGGATCACCATCAACCGATACATCCAAGTGCAGAGACCTCCCTTGGAAGTGACATTTCTTGCTCCAGAATGCAGCGTGCTGCTCATGTTGTTCAATCACCTTGCTGTACTCGGCCCGAATTCGTATCTCCTTGTCACTCAGGAATGCTGGAAGTGACGGCAGGTCGGGTGGATGACGAAGCAGCTTGAAGAGCTCTCGATCGATTTTCGGGGGTTGGCTTGGCTTGCGAGCGTAGGTTGCAGCGGCACGGATTTGCGCCGGAAGGGAGAAACGCAAACGCATGGCAGGTGCTACCAGCTAAAAATCTCGGCCATGGTCTGCGTAGGGCGCTTGCGCCAGCAACAATGACGGCCGCGGTGGTGCAAACAGGTGCTACGTGGGGGTTGCGAGAGGGAACTCAAGGGTCACATGGAATGAATGATGTATGGGACAGCTATAGGAATTCACTCTCCGATGCTGCCCACAAGCGCAGGTAAGATTAAGCAAGGCGGATTTCGGGAGTCTAAGGCAGTCGAACACTTGGGACTATTGTAGTCGAGTACAGTTGGAGCCAGAAAGTTGGAACATCATTATCCTCATGCCCTTCAGGCCTTCAGATAAAGTACAAGGGATCCTAGCACCAATTCTCCTAAAGCCATGTTCCAACTTTCTGGACCTGGTGACAAGTAGCCGGAGCCAGCTTCAGCGCTACAGCCACCTCCACCCCTCGCGTGCGGAATAACATGATGACAAAACTGATGGTGAAACTTAAGATACGCGTTCCTGGCTAGCATTGCGAAAACCCTTAAGCAGAGGAGGTTTAGATTTAAGCCCTACACCGTCAACCCTAGACGCTGAATGCTCGTTCGGCCTCGTCCACATGGGCGCCACCACTCCTCGGCGGTTCTTTCGGGAACACTTCGGGTAGACGCCGTTACCCGACGCAGAAAGGGAAGCAGAAGGAGGATTTAGGGTACAGGATATAATAGGGTTTAGGGTTCAGAGATTAGGGAGATTAGGGTTTAGGTCTTTAGGCTCAGTGCTTTTATGGTTTAGCGCCTCATGTCCGGCTTCGGTCCCAGGCGTGTGAAGCTTAAGATGTGCATGAAGCCTCTTGGTTTAGGGTTTAGGGTTGTTCAGCACTTTGTCGAAGCTGTCCTGAGACCTGAGATTGACACGATAATCCCGACTTCAAGGATGAGGGGACCTAGGGTTCCAACTCGGCTAGCTGTACCTCTCCTATTCTCTACAACCCAATTGAATTACTGATAACCTTACTTACTAAGTCCCCTGATCCTCCCATCCCCTCCCCTCCCCCATCACTTCCGAGACACCTCCCCTGGCCTCCAAGCTGTTTTCAGGCAGAGTGGTGCACTCCTTGTACGGGCTTCGGTCATGAGAGGTGCTTGCGGTGTGTTCAGGAGCTTGGCTTCACGTATTCAGGGTTCGAGGTCGCAAGACTGCAGGGTTCGGTGCGTTGAGGGAAGCACACGTCGGGTTGTGGCATTTAGGATTACCCTAAACCCTAAACCTCAAACCCCTAAACCCTAAGCCTCAAACCCCTAAACCCGAAACTCCCACCTGGCAGCTCAGGTTGGTGCCTCAGAGCCCAGAAGGAGACATTACGTGCAAAGTCTTTTGTACCCCGTATGCCGTATGTACGCCCATTCGGAAACCCTAAAAACCAAAGAACCGCAACCCTAAACCCTTTGGTATAAAACCACAACACCCAAAAACTGCAAGCCGTAAACCCTGAAACCTGTAAAATTTCATCACGGGCCTTGACAGCAGCTGCATCTTTGGCAGCGCGAGAAAGCAGCCAACAAGGGGCACCGCAGACACCAGGACACACCTGCAGGGTGCCCTGCACGCGACAAAGGTTCGAGTAATGGGCTTAGTCACAGTCGAGCTTCGATAATATGTAAAATATACCGCATATGATATACAACGGCACATGGTATATGTGTAACATATAACAGCCGGAAACATGAATAAAGGAATAATAGAGCAACGGAATAACAGAATAGCATAGTACTATACTAGTATGGGAACATACCATATACTTGAACATATACTGATACAGTAAAACAACAAGACGTTGATACGTTAACATAACACTATACACCTACATTAAGATGGCAGTATAAGAACATACGATCACAAGTTTATAGTAGTATGAATCAACAATATAAAAATTGAATGATAGAGTGGAATGACAGAATACTATGGAAATAGACTACTAGATAAATGGAATGATGGAACGATATAACCATGTACAATAACAAATGAATATAGCAATATACTTTTGAATATAGGCTAGAACAATATGACAGCAGAACAACAGTAGAACAGTTGTACAATAGAATACTAGAACAATGGAACACATTAGAGCTATAAGTTAATGTACTATGAAGATAGAATACAAGATACAGTAAAGATATATGATACAAGATGTATCACAATATCAATCTATCCTTTTCTTTCGTTCCTGCGAGGCCAGAAGCTTACATTCTCCTTGGAGCTTGCGGTTATATGTGAAATGTAAGCTCTTTTCACGATTTTGGAACGACCCCCATGCAGCCCCCCAACGAGCAACCTGGCAGCACGGTTCGCCACGAGAAGGCTGACCTGCTGACAAAGCGCGCGGACTCCAGTTTCAGCCAACTTGTATTGGTCTCCGTGGGTCTACAGATCCTTGTGTCGGGTTCTCCTTAAGCTCAAACACGAAGCCACACAGGCCTGAAATCTCGTGCCCCCCAATCCAACCCGTGGAAACCAGAACAGCCTAATTACCCGGTTGATGCCCTCAGCGGATTAGCACCGCCGAAGACAGCAGTGGGATCCCGGTGGTCGTGGCCGTCGCGGTGCTCTGACACTGCTTGGGGATCAAAGAAGAGCACAGCTGGCGACAGAGAAGAGTTCACAGGTGTCCTCAGGCAACACGGCCATCGGAAACGGTAATTAGCGCTAGCATGAAACACAGACGAAGACACGCCACAAGGCGGGCGAGATCCCGGAAGTCTGAAATGAGGCTTGGGTCCAGAGTTTGTGCTTTAGGGTGTAGCGTTTACGTGTCTCACCCCGCTCGTGAAACCAAACCGCGGAAGACTCGGATCCTTGAGAGGAGTAGAAGGCTGAAACCCTGGAAACCCCAGCCATCCGCAGGCGAAAGCCGACCAAACCCTGCATACTCCGATGGTAGCTTGTGAAGCATCTCAGCATCTCCATCAGCTCACCTAAGCCTCCGACGGCGCACCTGAACCCGTGAAGAACGATATCAGATGGGAGTTTCCGAAAATTACGGGTACCTTATTTTGGGGTCCTTATAATAAGGATCCTTCTATTTAGGGCACTACATTAGGATTCCCTATTTTCGGAAATTCCCAGATCTCGAACCTGGGAGCTCCTAGGAGGCCCCCGAAGCCCAGAGGCTACTCCAGGGGCCTTAAGACTTACCTGTACTATCTTTGATGGCCAAGAATTGTAACTATAGTATCATGTAAATCTAGGGCCTTAAGACTTACCTATACTATTCTTGATGGCACCTTATCATAACTATAGTATCATGTACCCCCAAACCCTATTCAAAAGATTGTTTTGAAGGCCCCTATACTAGAGACCCCAGAAGCCCAGAAACTATCCCCTGGCCTTCCACCACTTCTGAGGCCGGAGTGGCGCCTCTTTTACGGAATCCGTGCGCCGCGAAGTCCCTTGCACCTGAACGGCCAGGCGCGAAAGGCCCTGTGATGCGTACTTGTTTCTATGTCGACAACCCTCAGAAACGATCCTGAATCCTAAAACGATCCTGAATACTAAAGCAAATATCTGTCTAGTGCTCTCCTGTGCGCTTACCGAAAGTTTGCTGTGTACTGCCTGGCCGGCTGCCTGCCGGAACCCAGCTTGGGAATATGATTGTCCAGACCCGCCGGGAGTATCTAGAAACGAGATCCCCTAATTTGAGGCCCTATACTACTACGGGTACTTTCATAGAAACCCCCATTAGGGGATCTACTTCTTGGATCCTCCCGGGGGTCTGGGTGAACCGTGGCTTGCGGTTTAAGGTTTCCCATCAACCCTGAAGCTCCCCAAAGCACGAAAGCCTGCTTCCCTACGTCGCCACATAATCTAAAAGCTTTAACACTCAGAATAGGGGCCAAGGGCCGGGGTCTGTTAGGGGTTTAGGGTTTGGGGATACTGATAATGATAAGGAAACAAACCTGAGGGATAGTATCGATAATTATAGTATCGATAATACTCCGACCCCCCGCATTCAATCAAACGGGGTCTGGATCTCTGCAAGCCTGGACCTATCCTAAAGCCTAACTGACCTGCACTGAACACTCAAACTGTGTCAGTCGGCAGACGGGCTGCAGATTGATTGGCGCCCGCACCAGCAAAATCCCTATTCGGTTCTAAGTGTTAAGGCACCTATTTCACCACCTCTCGCTAAGGATCTGACCGTTTGCTGGGTTCCACTGCGCTGGCGCACCGCCGAAACCATCCCACGCTTCGGGGTTTGGGGTTCGGGGTTTGCTGTTTAGGGCTGAGAGTTCAGGGTTCAGGGCTTAGGGTTCATGTGCTCAGGATGGAACGAAGAAAGCCGGTTCTTGTGCAACGAAAGATCCGTCAAAGCTTCCGGGCTGGACTTCTAAATGAAGCTTGGAGGAAGTTCGGGGCTTCAAGCCGGGTGGTTGGCGAGGATTCGGGCATGGAGATTTTTCCCATCAGGTGTGTATCTGACTTCGACATCCGAGCTCAAATTTCAGGATACCGACGAAGACGTTGGTCAGCGGGTCACCGTGCAGATAGGTGAGTGCACGGGCCAGATTCAAGTGTTTTCGGCAGTTTAGCGTGAGAGGGGCGATAAGGGAGCAGGGCATAGAGTTGAAGGTTTCAGGCTTACGGCTGTATGGGGTTCCGCGTTTAGTTTCAGAGCTGTTTGTCGGGCTTTGATGGAAAATTTAAGGTCTAGGGCTTCGGCCTTGTGGCTTAGGGTTTCGGGTTCAGGATGAAGCTACCTGCATGAGGGCTTCCGTTGTGGTGGTGCTCCATTGCGGCGCGTGTTGTGCTTGAAGCTCGGAGATGTGCCGAAGGCTTACATCCCAATCCTTAAACCCTAAATCCGAAACCCTAAACCTTAAAAAAAACCCTGAACTCGGTCCCTGAACCCTGTGCCCTGAATCTGAATCACTGAAGGCATCGAGAGACTGTTTCGGGGTGGTTGGCCTGTTGCACGAAGCCTAGCCCTGATAGCCTCCTTTACATTTACCCGACTGTGGAATGTTGCGGCTCTGGGACCATTTCATCGGGTTGGGGGCTGTTTCTCGGTCAACAGACTGGAACGTGGCTTCGAGCTGCTGCCAAACACTCTTTTTGAGTAACGTCTCATCTCCTCCCACGCACACAACCGCACAGATAGAGCTTTGCTGGTATCTGCGCGGAAACTACCGCCTGCTGTCGGTCGTCTCGCTGTACAGGTCCGAGACACGAAGGCGACTGTCGGGTTGTGCTCGTACGAGCATGCTCGAAGAGCCTACATGAGTAGCTTGGGAAGCATCTTGGGAGCATTCACGGACAGGAACAGGATTTGTTACGTCGATACCACTGGCGTATCATGAGGGTTGGAGCCTGCTTCCAGTCAAACCTCTCTGTGTCCTGGCGCTTGGCGCTGGTAACACAATCAAGATCCGACCGTTGCTGCCAGCCTCAGTGGTATCCCTATCCTCTTGTAACAGATCCCCTAAACCCGAAACCCTAAACCATGGACTCCAAACAAGCTTGCAGCTTGGAACCGAAATCCCCCGCCGATATCACAGATCATCCTAGAGAGGCATAATCCATCGCCAGGCCAAGGGAAGTGTCCTTCGCCTGGACAAAGAAGCTTTATACTACACAACATACATATCTTTATATATATGTGTGTGTGTGTGTGTGTGTATGCATGTATATAAATATGCTAATTTGCATACGTGGTTGTATATGATCTTTTATCCATTTGGGTGTCGATTCGTCGGCCTGAGGGGTGAGCCAAACTCACCCCGCCAAACCCTAGGCCCTAAACCCTGAAACCGAAAAACAAATACAGAGAGGTCGATGAGCTCAAGGCACGGAAGATTTTTTGAAGCTTCCCAGGTTCTGCGCTTCGGGGTGGTCTGAGCAAGGAGATCTGCCACTTGCCATGCATCCCTCTGGTGGAAACTTGAGCTAATTAAGTTCCTCTAAGCCTTATACCCTGAACTTCTAAGCCCTGAACCCGAAAGAAAACTACGAACTCAACCCTAAGCAAAATCCTCAGCCCTAAACCCTAAACCAAACGTCAAGAACCTGGCGATTGCGAGCTTCAGGCATTGTGGCCTACAGTAGTCTTTACGAAGAGCTCTTCTCGGAAGTTTTGCACTGAAACGCCTCGATCTAACTGGTCAGCAATACTGGGTTAGGGGTTTATGCGAAGTTAAGGGTTGAGGGCTGAGCTATAGATATTGGGCTGAAGCATTTCACACTCGACTATTTGGGGTTCAGGGTTGCTCGGAAATGGAAATTTAAGGATCTTACACAGTTAGGGGTAGGCTGGCCTCAACTCATATTCCAGAACGCTTTTTCCTCACACGTTTTTCCCCTAGGGGGTACCCTATGATTTCAACATTTCCATAAATTTTTGCCCACATTTGACACCATACCCTCGCACATTTCACCATTAAAATTTCAGAAATTTATGATAAAAAATTCATAAAATTTTATCATAAATTTTATTACAAAAATTCATAAATTTTGTGATATTTTTTGTGATATTTTTTGTGATATTTTTTGTGATATTTTTTTATATCGCAGTTTTTGCTTTTAAATAACCTTCTAGTTCATTTAGTGACCCTTGTATAATTTTCAGATATTCATCATCCCAATATGACGTGTTATTTTTCTCTTTCATTTTTATGAGTATATTTTCATGTTTTTTTAATATTACATATTTTTTCATTCCATACTCAATACATATATCGTCTAGTTCTTTTTCAAATATCTCTTCATATTTGCTTTTACCAATGTCTTTACCTGTTACAACTTCCTTCATGAGTTTCATCATATATATATTACTATATATTTTTCTTTTTAAAACTTTTAAAACTTTTATATATTTTTATCTTCATTTCTTTAGATATATACTTTTATATCACATGTTATGACATATTATTTTCATACAATTTTATTAGTTCTTTTTGTAGTTCAATTTGTTTTTCTAAATACTTCATTTCCTTATCTAAATGTTCTTGTTCTTCTTTTTCTATAACGCATTTTTGTTTAATTTCTACAATTTTGCTTTCCCTGCTTTCTTTGATAATTTCTAGTTTTTCTAATTCATGTTTTGCCTGTTTGTAGAGTATTTCAAACAATTCATCATGAACTGATTTTTTCATATATATAATACTATATATTTTAGTTTTTAAAACTTTTAAAACTTTTGTATTGCAACATGTCATGTGCAGTTCGGCATGTGCAATCTGACACGAGAGGTTGTGCATTGTTACATCTTGTTTCCCTTGTAGCATTTATTGCTCCAGTTTTTTGAGTGTTTCAAGAAACTTTTTCAATTCGCTTTGTCCCGTCGTTTCTTGGATTGTATTTTATAAACTTTTATATTTTATGTTTATTTTGAATATAGTTTTATATTTTATACAAGTCTATATTTATTTCTACTAAGGCTATGCAGATCTTCGTGAAGACCTTGACGGGCGTGACCATCACCATGGATGTTGAAGGTTCCGACACGATTGACACCGTGAAGGCAAAGATCCAAGACTTCTACGGCATCACTCCTGAAGATCAAGAATGGGGAGTTCAATCGCATTTTGCAGATGAACACCAAAATTTATTGGATATGCTATGCCATTCCGATGAAGAGGACAGCACCGAGGAAGGCATCTACAACGGTGATCGTGAAACCTTGGATGATAAGGGCAATAAAGTTTTTTATCAGATAGGAGGGGGTAAAAGGGCTCGTGTTTCTTCATCAAACGCTATGGGGTTCAAATGCACTAGCAAATATACTTCTAAAAACCAGCGTATCCGTTTTATCAATGAAGAAGCACGGAGCCTTGAAACACGGATCACCTCTTCGTCGGTGGTTTCACGGGTTTTTACCGAACAAATAGCTCGTATTAAACAAATACTAGAACTAGCAGAAACCAACGCGAAGAGTTGCATAACCGCTATTTTAGGGGTTGTAGATAGGAAGGTAAGACTTAATTTAATTGAAGAACTAGCAAAAAGCAATAACGGGGAATTAAGGGTTAAACAAATGGTTGACGTTTTGTTTCATTATGTAGATGACCAATTAGGGGAAGTAGAGACTTTGGTTACTGCCCTTAAATCTTATTCTTTACGCTCTATGGAAAAATTAATTGTTAGTTTATGGGGTTCTTCTAATGGGGATATCCAATGGCAAAAATTATACGGGTCTTTAAGTAAATGCCCTGTTCATGGAGATCGTCGCCATGATACGGAAAACCACCATGACGACGATGACGACGACGACGATGACGACGATGGACATGGTGGTAAAAAAGATGGTGATGAGGATATGCCGGACGTGAGTTCCATGTCTATATCTACGCCAAAAAAACGAGGGCGTCCGGCAAAAATTACCACTTGATGAGGTGGGATGTTACAAAATATTTTTTGGATATAGTAAATAATTTTACAATATTTTGTTTTATTCTTTTGTT